AAGGCCACTCATCCCCTCTCTAGCCTGCCTTTCATCATCACCCAGTGTGTCCAAGTGAGGTGCTGAACCATGGTGTCCATCAGTCAGCCAGTTCTTTAACCTCAAGGCCACTCATCACCTCTCTAGCCTACAGCAGCTGACAGAAGATCTAACCAATCTTAACCAATGACAGCCTTGAGGTAAGTATCAGAACCAATCACCGCTCTCCTCTCATAACACATCATGAGTGATGTGTGCAACATGATCAGGCTCCAGCAGGTTCCTCAGAGAACTACTTGTCATGAAATACTTGTTTAAGATTCCAAAATCAGTGCCAATGACTTAATTCTAAACTGGAACGGAGTAGGTATGTAGCAAGCAATGGAATATTACACATGGTACCAAGGATGGATTAGTGTTGCATATGCACACTGTCCAAATACACAGTTTGTGAAGAATAAGCTTAATAGTCTGACTTTTAATAAAATAGATAGGATAGAACAAATATACATAATCTTGACCATGCCAGGAACTGATTTAACAGCGAATGTGTCATGGGTCAAATTTGGCATCAATTTGTTTACGTGATGAAGACAAAAATTTGACACTTGTTCCCTGACATATATTTTCCATTAAGTGTTAAATAAAGGCAAATGGACGGATGCATATAGACACTTGTTTTTAAAATATAACAAATCTCAAAGAGCAATTTTCAACCACATCCCATAGTAAAGATATGTACATGGACATCACACATATTTAACGCAATGTCCTCAGAAAGTCAACATCATTAGACATCAGGGCTCTGTTTCACGAAGCAGTCTTAGCGCTAAGATGATTATAACTCCTATACTTCAACATGGGCTTACAACAATCGCAGCACTAAGGTCGCTTTGTGGAACAGGACCCGTGAACATATTCTACTAAATATATCAACTTCTAACTAGTGTATGGAACCCATAAACCTGAAAAAACTTGTGCAAATTATGTTCAGTTCTACTGACTGATGTACTGGAATTCCTAAACATTTATTACATAAAAATATTTCACAAATTAGCAATGATTAGTGTAACTTGAACATCTACATTACATTATGGTCTTTAAAACATTATCTGAACATGTTGCAGTGTTAGTTAAGCATGGCTTGTGGTTGTCTCTGCTGTACCCACAGTCAGTGTGCGGGGGATCTCCTTTAGATATCAGAGTATCATGATCATTTGTCACAAAGACATTTCAAATGATTTTACTTGTGGAGCATTTTGCTGACAATTTGAGGTTATTTATGCAGCTGAACACTGATAATATCTCCTCATCTTTTCTCACATGTACACAGAAAAATTGTACTTCTTAATTTGAAGATGTACATAATCCAGTGGCCATTGCTCTAGCCTGTATAATTTAAACTGATGACTTACTGAAATTCAGGTAGTTATACCTTTCCTTATTACAAAAACTGTATCCTTTTATAGATTCAGCTTAGTGTCCAATACAATCATATGGACAGGGAAGTGACCCACATTGTGACAAATCTGACTTAAATGTAGGACAGTTGCAGTGCCCGTCTCTTTTGAAAGCTTGCTGAAATATGTTGCCACACCTGTACACAATGCAATAAGCATGTCGATGGAAAGCCTGCTGATATATGTTGCCACACCTGTACACAATGCAATAAGCATGTCTGTGGAAAGCCTGCTGAAATATGTTGCCACACCTGTACACAATGCAAAAAGCATGTCTGTGGAAAGCCTGCTGAAATATGTTGCCACACCTGTACAAAATGCAAAAAGCATGTCTGTGGAAAGCATGTTGAAATATGTTGCCACACCTGTACACAATGCAATAAGCATGTCTGTGGAAAGCCTGCTGAAATATGTTGCCACACCTGTACACAGTGCAATAAGCATGTCTGTGGAAAGCATGTTGAAATATGTTGCCACTCCTGTACACAGTGCAAAAAGCATGTCTGTGGAAAGCATGTTGAAATATGTTGCCACATCTGTACACAGTGCAATAAGCATGTCTGTGGAAAGAATGCTGAAATATGTTGCCACACCTGTACACAATGCAATAAGCATGTCTGTGGAAAGCCTGCTGAAATATGTTGCCACACCTGTACCCAGTGCAATAAGCATGTCTGTGGAAAGCATGTTGAAATATGTTGCCACTCCTGTACCCAGTGCAATAAGCATGTCTGTGGAAAGCATGCTGAAATATGTTGCCACACCTGTACACAGTGCAATAAGCATGTCTGTGGAAAGCATGCTGATATATGTTGCCACACCTGTACACAGTGCAATAAGCATGTCTGTGGAAAGCCTGCTGAAATATGTTGCCATACCTGTACCCAGTGCAATAAGCATGTCTGTGGAAAGCCTGCTGAAATATGTTGCCACACCTGTACCCAGTGCAATAAGCATGTCTGTGGAAAGCATGTTGAAATATGTTGCCACTCCTGTACACAATGCAATTAGCATGTCTGTGGAAAGCCTGCTGAAATATGTTGCCATGCCTGTACACAGTGCAATAAGCATGTCTGTGGAAAGCATGCTGAAATATGTTGCCATGCCTGTATACAGTGCAATGAGCATGTCTGTGGAAAGCCTGCTGAAATATGTTGCCACACCTGTACACAGTGCAATTAGCATGTCTGTGAAAAGCATGTTGAAATATGTTGCCACGCCTGTACACAGTGCAATAAGCATGTCTGTGGAAAGCCTGCTGAAATATGTTGCCACACCTGTACACAATGCAATAAGCATGTCTGTGGAAAGCATGTTGAAATATGTTGCCACACCTGTACACAGTGCAATAAGCATGTCTGTGGAAAGCATGTTGAAATATGTTGCCACACCTGTACACAGTGCAATAAGCATGTCTGTGGAAAGCATGCTGAAATATGTTGCCACACCTGTACACAGTGCAATAAGCATGTCTGTGGAAAGCATGCTGAAATATGTTGCCACACCTGTACACAATGCAATAAGCATGTCTGTGGAAAGCCTGCTGAAATATGTTGCCACACCTGTACCCAGTGCAATAAGCATGTCTGTGGAAAGCATGTTGAAATATGTTGCCACTCCTGTACACAATGCAATTAGCATGTCTGTGGAAAGCCTGCTGAAATATGTTGCCATGCCTGTACACAGTGCAATAAGCATGTCTGTGGAAAGCATGCTGAAATATGTTGCCATGCCTGTACACAGTGCAATGAGCATGTCTGTGGAAAGCCTGCTGAAATATGTTGCCACACCTGTACACAGTGCAATTAGCATGTCTGTGAAAAGCATGTTGAAATATGTTGCCACGCCTGTACACAGTGCAATAAGCATGTCTGTGGAAAGCCTGCTGAAATATGTTGCCACACCTGTACACAATGCAATAAGCATGTCTGTGGAAAGCATGTTGAAATATGTTGCCACACCTGTACCCAGTGCAATAAGCATGTCTGTGGAAAGCATGTTGAAATATGTTGCCACACCTGTACACAGTGCAATAAGCATGTCTGTGGAAAGCCTGCTGAAATATGTTGCCACACCTGTACACAGTGCAATAAGCATGTCTGTGGAAAGCATGTTGAAATATGTTGCCACACCTGTACCCAGTGCAATAAGCATGTCTGTGGAAAGAATGCTGAAATATGTTGCCACACCTGGTCACAGTGCAATAAGATTGTCTGTGGAAAGCATGTTGAAATATGTTGCAACACCTGTACACAGTGCAATAAGCATGTCTGTGGAAAGCCTGCTGAAATATGTTGCCACACCTGTACACAGTGCAATAAGCATGTCTGTGGAAAGCATGTTGAAATATGTTGCAACACCTGTACACAGTGCAATAAGCATGTCTGTGGAAAGCATGTTGAAATATGTTGCCACACCTGTACACAGTGCAATAAGCATGTAAACCTCCTTCCAACATGCTGTGATAACTTTGGAACAGCTGTAGAACGTATCAATCATCCACACACTAGATATACTTTGTTGAAATGGTGCCCCTACCATGCATACAGACTCCTGCATTTGTTCATTGCACACATAAACCCTGTTTCTCTGTAAGCTGATGATGATATGTGAACTCTCATACAAACATGGCAGTCTGGAGTGGGTGGGGAGATGAATGTGATCATTTCATAAATCATTAACAATCATAATCAATCAATATCCTGAACCTGAAATGGCTTCAATAATGCATAATGTCCTCCAAACAAATCAACTATGCATGGATTTGTACTTATATCAGGCAAGATTTTCTCTAAACTACATACAGTAGACTCTAACCATGTTATCTCCAAGTTCACCCTCAACTCAACTGTTTGTTCTATGACCTTTGTATCAACTGCTCTTTCTAACAACTGAGGTGATGATAACTCTATTATTCCCTTCAAATCCAACTCGGGTTTCACCGAAGTGGTCAATGTCTGAGAGCTGCATCACTTCGGGCTTTCCTCCCATATTAAGCTGACATGCCACGATACAACTGTAATACTGTTAAAAGCGGCGTTAAACCCAACTCACTCACACACTCATATCCAACTCTGATTGTGTCCATGTAACCTCCAAGTCCGTACTGCATCTTGCATCATCTTCATCACTAAAGTATACTAAAGCTCCCTTGTACTTTGCGACAACAGGAGCCCAACTGTTTCATGAACTGTTTTCATTGTAAAGAAACAAATACTTTTTGGATAGGTGTATCTGCAGCAAAAGAATTTTCACAGTTACCATGGTTACCCGGTACTAAAAACAAACATGGGAAATATTTTCACAATATGTCAATATTTAAGCTATTTAGCTTCAACAATAATTTCTCTAGAAATCTCAACAGGAATATAGATCAGGTAGATACAGATGAGTATTTTCAATAACTTCTTGATCATTAGACCAACTGAAAAACAAACAGTTACATCGTAGGCTTGATGCGCTTTAAACAAACACAATTCTGTATATTTATTGCATCATGTTAAGTGTTCATCAAGTAATCCACACAGGATTATTTCACAATACTGTCTAAAAACGTTGCTCTTCCTTGTGAAAAATTAAAACTTGCGCCTTTTCTTAATGGCCAAACCTTTCCCAAACCAGCCAGGCACTGACGAGGCTGAGCTGAGGCGTCTCTTTGTTCGTTGAGCACACTTCTCTTTGGTTTCTTCGTCCTTTGTAACACTTTGTTCCCCCTTCTCCTGTTTCACTTCTGAAGTCAACGAACCCGACCTGTCCCTTTCTTCTTTAACTTTCACTGCCGTACTGCTCAACCTGCTCTCTGAGGGAGGATTGTTTTCAGTCAGTGATGGTGATAAAAGTGATGGTGATGAAACAGATGGAGACGACCTTGGTGGTAGGGACAGGATGGGCTGTGTGTGGAATACGGGTGGGCTGGCTATAAAGGAGGGTGGGAAGCCCATCATACAATACTTCTGAAGATCAGCAAATGTCTCAAAGGATGCTTCACCAGGACTCAGAGAGGCTGCCAGTACAAGACCTGGTGGTGCAGATGCAATCACTCCATCTTGTTCACTTGCGGCTATTTGAGGAGTTTGCACTAGCTTGGTTGTTACACAATGATGGGTTTTGGCTTGTGGTGATAAGTCCAAAGCTTCATCCTGAACGCTTTCTGAATACTGAACACTAGATAAGCTGGGAGCTACTGTGGTTTGTGGACTTTTCTCAGGAGAGTTCCGGCACTGGCAGTTGATCTGTCTACAGTAACAATGATCCAGTATGACACTCCCTGGGAGAGTAGGAACATCTGTTGGAACAGGAGTCTCTCGGGGCCGGGGAGCTGGTTGTACCGACACAAGTTTGAGATCATGGCCACCAACACCACTGGTGGCTAATACAGCACTTTGGAATGCAACTGGCACATGGAGTGATGGAATGACTTGAGGTATTAACATGTCATTAGAGTAGACACCTGAGAGTCTAAAGCACTTATCAGAATCTTGCATAGTTGATATATTGGTGTGTTCTGCTTTTACAAGAACAGAGTCAAGCATATCACAAGACATGGAGGAGGGATTATCAACTCTGAGCAAATGTGTTGTGTCGACAAAAGCCATGGAGTCGGGCAGTTCATCCTGCTGCAGCTGCTGGTGTCCAAGTAAATTCTTTATGGTGGAATATTTGGGCTTCCTGTCTTTGGTCAGAGGCTTTCTCCTGATTGCTGCTGGTTTTACATAGCCTTCGGGAATATCAAGAATTTTCTTTGAGGTAGTTTTTAATTCCCTTTTCCGTAATGGCGTTGAGAGGGAGAAGATCGGATCTATTTCTCTGAAATATTGAACAAGTATCACAATCATCCATCAATATTCGTCAAAGATATTGAGCTTCTCAGAGACCTAACTAAGAACTAAATTTAGTCCAAATCCACCAATGTTTGTAGAAGTCATCTCCTTAAAACTAGTCTCAATGAAGTTTTTGTCAAAGAGATATTGGCATAATCATGATAATGGAATGTCAACATTGATTTTTGCTTATCTATGATTTGTCAAACTTTCACCAAACAAGACAATATCATCAATCCTTACCGCTTGTAAGCTGGAACTTCATACCCTAAACAGGATATGACCTGCTGCATGACGTCATCACAGCGCCCTGAAGTGTAAAATGGGACACAGCTACAGTAATAATTCAGAAGGATCCATCATGTTTGTTGCAAGCAAGGCCGACTTTTACTCTTTAAAGGTATCGGAATAGTTCAATGTACAACTACTGCAAATGTTTTTGGATCAGTTGAAAGTATTGCTTAGAAGTTGACGGATGACAAAGTAGACCCAGTTTATGGATAACAGCTTCTTTATTTATTGTAAAGGCGATGTTTCGGTATCAATCCTTATACTGTTGTCTTGTTGACCACGGTATAGGGATCTATACCGAAACATCGCCTCTACAGTAAAATAAGAAGTTGTTATCCATATATCGTGTCTACTTCGGTTGAAAGTACTCCTACCATTCTACCATGTAGATTTCCTTACTTTACTTGATGTGATGAAAAAACCTCACACAGTAGATTGCTTTGAAAGTTGCTAGAGAGATAATGATGAGAGGTACCTCTGAGTGTGATGTGTATTGTCTGATGTAAATTTGAAAATGGCTACACACATCTCTTAAAGCAAGATTGTTTTATTAATCAAAACAAAAGGAAAATTAAATGATAAACAGCATTATTTATTCTTTTATTGTTATTGATTCTTTTCATAAATTTTGGGTTCAGACATCTTAATGGTAATGACGTGACCTGCATATGAAGTTGTTATTATGCATGGATCGTGTTACTAAACACTTCATGTCATAACATAATGGTTTAGTTAGAACAGACGCAGCTATGAAACTGTCCTGCTTACGTTTGTCTTAGGTGGTTGGGAGCTGAAGGTATAAACTGAATTGTCAAGTGCAAATGCGCGAAAATCAGAGAGATGTGCAAGGAAGATTAGGTAGTCATAAGGCTAGACTATATTTTGTTTGTTTGTTTATTTATTGTTAAACTCCGCATTCAGCAAAATTCCAGCTATATGACAGCGCTCTGTAAATAATCGAGTCTGGACCTGAAAATGCAGTTACTGACATCTTGAGCATCGATCCACACAATTGGGAATTGATGACATGCATCAACCACGTCAGCGAACCTGACCACCCGATCCCGTTAGTTGCCTCTTACGACAAGCATAGTCGTCTTTAGCATGAGCTGCTGAAGACCTATTCTACCCCGGATTTTCACAGGTCGCTAGACATTTACACTTTTTTCAGATACAATCAATGTACAATCATTACAAGGTGCTTCCATAGTAATTACACAATCCATGATCATGACTACGATGTCAATTTAGATTAACAATAATTATCAAGATTAGGGGATTTTATGCAACGTTTAAATCACACTTGCTGGGGTCACACTTGAGTAGACCTGTCTCAGTGATTAAACTCATTAGAGTCAAGTGCTTCACTGAATACTGCATCTGTGACTGGTGATTAAGAGACAGCCTTGTGAGTGGTATGTGAACACACCATTGATCTTGAGTGTTGCAACATTGTCTTTGGGTGTCCACTGTAGGTTGACGATGTACAGCTTGGGTCGCTTCTGAAGCTGGAGGTTCATACACCACAGGCAGGAGTATTTCTTCAGAATCTGACAAAACAGAGGTGGACCATCATTTACATGACTAAAGGGTTTCAATGACATACAATGAACAAGCTATTAGGCTAAAAAAAAGTCTTGGTTCTCCGGCACATGTGTATTTGTCTCATAAAATAAGCCAGAAATAGCAATGAGCTGTTCACACATTAACTCCCCATCTTTGGGTGATTTAGTTTTAAAATACTTAATGACATGGCCAATATCATAACTGAAAAGAAACTTGTGTACTTCAGTACAGATTTGTTGACATACTTCTTCCGGTGTTGTATGCTCACGATTACATCTTTGTATTGTGAAATAATACTAAGAATCATTCTGTGCATTTATTATGCAAACACTTATAGTCCAACAGCAGTCAAATACTGTATTCCCGTATTTAACTCATCAAGAAATTCATATATGTAGGGAGGCCCTTTCCCAGGTTGATTGTACAAAACTGTTTATTTGGTTACATACTAGTTTGAACAACAACAACAAAAAAAGGCCACCCACCCGCCCACACTATATTTTTAAAAGCCATTGCCTGAGAACCAATTCTTTTTTATCTAAGCCTTAGTGTTGGTAATCACTTTAAACATCATGATTATCACATTGTGTCAAACATCAATTACCAACTGAAGCTTGATCAAAGTGAGTGAGTTTGGTTTAACGCTACTTTGAACAGTATTTCAGTTAAATCACAGCATGTCAGTTTGGTGAAATCCACAAGCACAGATATGATGCCAACAAAGCTAAAAACATATCACATGAATCTGGCACGTCTAATGGACATGATAAATGCAACTCTGCCCACAAATCACTGCACCTTAGACAAATGGGTCAAACCCAAAGTGTAATGTGCCAGTTGTAAGAACATCAATCAATACTTGTTCACCACTAGTGCTGCACTCCACAAAGCCATCTCAGATCTAAGACTATCATAAGTCAGTGTTGAGTATGGGATTTTGATAATCACAGCTCTAAGACCGCTTTGTAGAATGGAGTCATGTTAATTGTGACGCGAGTACTGCGGACTTCGTCACATTTTATAATCATAGAGTACTGGGGGGCTCTTCACAACCGACAATCAGAGGGCTGGGGAGCTCATCACAACTGAAAATCATAGAGTACTGGAGACCTCATCACTATTGACAATAAAAGAGTACTGGGGACCTCATCACTATTGACAATCACAGAGTACTGGGGACCTCCTCACAACTGACAATCATAGAGTACTGGGGACCTCCTCACAACTGACAATCACAGAGTACTGGGGACCTCCTCACAACTGACAATCATAGAGTACTGGGGACCTAGTCACAACTGACAATCATAGAGTACTGGGGACCTACTCACAACTGACAATCATAGAGTACTGGGGACCTACTCACAACTGACAATCATAGAGTACTGGGGACCTCGTCACAATTGACAATCATAGAGTACTGGGGACCTCCTCACAATTGACAATCACAGAGTACTAGGGACCTCCTCACAACTGACAATCACAGAGTACTAGGGACCTCCTCACAACTGACAATCACAGAGTACTGGGGACCTCGTCACAACTGACAATCACAGAGTACTAGGGACCTCCTCACAACTGACAATCACAGAGTACTAGGGACCTCCTCACGACTGACAATCACAGAGTACTGGGGACCTCGTCACAACTGACAATCATAGAGTACTGGGGACCTCCTCACAACTGACAATCATAGAGTACTGGGGACCTCCTCACAATTGACAATCATAGAGTACTTGGGACCTCATCACTATTGACAATCACAAAGTACTGGGGACCTCATCACAACTGACAATCATAGAGTACTGGGGACCTCATCACAACTGACAATCACAGAGTACTGGGGACCTCGTCACAACTGACAATCACAGAGTATTGGGGACCTCCTCACAACTGACAATCATAGAGTACTGGGGACCTCCTCAAAACTGACAATCACAGAGTACTAGGGACCTCCTCACAACTGACAATCACAGAGTACTGGGGACCTCCTCACAACTGACAATCACAGAGTACTGGGGACCTCATCACAACTGACAATCATAGAGTACTGGGGACCTACTCACAATTGACAATCATAGAGTACTGGGGACCTCGTCACAACTGACAATCATAGAGTACTGGGGACCTCCTCACAATTGACAATCATAGAGTACTTGAGACCTCATCACTATTGACAATCACAGAGTACTGGGGACCTCATCACAACTGACAATCATAGAGTACTGGGGACCTACTCACAACTGACAATCACAGAGTACTGGGGACCTCGTCACAACTGACAATCACAGAGTATTGGGGACCTCCTCACAACTGACAATCATAGAGTACTGGGGACCTCCTCAAAACTGACAATCACAGAGTTCTAGGGACCTCCTCACAACTGACAATCACAGAGTCCTGGGGACCTCCTCACAACTGACAATCACAGAGTACTGGGGACCTCGTCACAACTGACAATCATAGAGTACTGGGGACCTCCTCACAACTGACAATCTTAGAGTACTGGGGACCTGCTCACAACTGACAATCATAGAGTACTGGGGACCTCCTCACAACTGACAATCTTAGAGTACTGGGGACCTGCTCACAACTGACAATCATAGAGTACTGGGGACCTCGTCACAATTGACAATCACAGAGTAGTGGGGACCTCCTCACAATTGACAATCACAGAGTACTGGGGACCTCCTCACAACTGACAATCACAGAGTACTAGGGACCTCCTCACAACTGACAATCACAGAGTACTAGGGACCTCCTCACAATTGACAATCACAGAGTACTGGGGACCTCGTCACAATTGGCAATCATAGAGTACTGGGGACCTCCTCACAATTGGCAATCACAGAGTACTAGGGACCTCCTCACAATTGACAATCACAGAGTACTGGGGACCTCCTCACAACTGACAATCACAGAGTACTAGGGACCTCCTCACAACCGACAATCACAGAGTACTAGGGACCTCCTCACAATTGACAATCACAGAGTACTAGGGACCTCCTCACAACTGACAATCACAGAGTACTGGGGACCTCCTCACAATTGGCAATCATAGAGTACTGGGGACCTTGTGATCACAATCCAAAAGCTAAAGCTACTGTGAACTTTATGGTTACAATCAACAAGCATAGAGTATTGGAGCCTCGACAAGTTGAGAATCATCAAGTTGGATGATGTACCTTGAGACTTGAGCCTAGACACAGTATGAGATCACAGTTGTTGGCAGCCTTGACTGCTTCCTTCCAGCGATATGGAGACTTGTAGCCACCCTTCTCCCCGAAGTGTACAATGGTATCCCGCAATGAGTTATTGCACTTGTGACATTTCCTTTCTGTTTCATGGCGCCGGACACCAGTCTTCTCCGTCACATCAAACAGTCGGATGTATTCTCGATGCGGCTTGCACTCCTTACATTGCTGAAGAGAAAAGGAGTCAAAATCAAATCTTATTTCTTGTTCTCCATGCAATGTCAGAATAGGGTTTTCCTTTCAAATTAGGTACATCATGTCAATCACATGCCCACATTCTTTAAACAGGTTACTGAAGAATACCCATACCTTAATGATATCCTGTTAGCAGCGATAGAAACTAACAGTTTTAGTCCACTAGTCCTTATAATGATAACATACGGTAAAACCTTCGAAACCGGCAAATTTCTACTAGTCCTTCGGATACCTCAACAATTGGGCAGTTTGGTAAGGACTATAGGACTTCTGACACTGCTGTTAGCTTGAGTAGTGACTAACAGTCAGAGTGACCTCTTCTTTATGCGGCTTTTCAATTTCCACAACTCTGTGTAGGAATACAATTTGGGCTGGTTTTTGCACATTTTATCCTTTTTTGCTTTCAAAGAAGTATAAACTAAAAAAACATGATGTTGTTTTCCAGGTGTGCAGGTGAGCTGTGGTTATTTTATGCAAAGGAAAGTTTAACGTAAAAGTTAAAATATATTTTGGACATATCATCGTGTGGATCATCTATGCAAAGTCTCAATTTCATGGGCATTATGATTCCAGTGAAGATGTTAAAAATGTAAAAGTTTACAACAGATAGAGAACTGAAGCTAAACAATGCTCAATAACATATTCTCACTTAAATGTTAAGTTCAGGTGAGCTAAGAGTCAACTAAACTGATGGTTCCTCTGTCAAATATATTCATGGCAGTTGGGAAACATGACAAAATTGAAAATTTTACATTAAACTGTATATATATATATACCGGTACTTATCCTTTCTCACACTATGCAGTTATTCTTTCATTTTTCAATCCTATGTGGAAACATGTCTGAACAAAGTTTCCAGCTTCTAAAATACAATTCACCCAAAAACACCCCAGCATCGCCATGGTCACCACCCAGACAAACTGTTACCCAGACACTGACTCTGTGTATGGTTCTCATGGTAGTTACCTCTATGAACATGTTCCCATGGACTTCAGACAACACCTGCCTAGTCAAGCCACTTCGTATATGAAGACCATCGCAGTTTTGAGACACCACATGCTTCAACTGCAAGAAAATACAACAAGAATATACATGTCTGTCCAGCATCATCAGTTCCTCCACAGCAGCAAAATACAAGGCATGTTTCCGTTAGACCCATAATGACATTCGAGGATCACCATCCATCAAACAATGCTGTAATGGGATAGTTTCAAGACATCATGACCTCTTTAGATCAAAACATTAACATATGCAAATATTAAAGAAACAGCACATATTTTCAATATTCCAAGACTAAAATGTTGGTGTAAGGCACCTCGTGTAATCTGTGTCAGTGACAAAAGCTTATCAATTGTATTAGGCCATTAAACATAATATATTACCCAATGAAGATTGCAGCAAGTATTGTTTGTTAGTTTATTGTTTAATGCCGCACTCAGCAATATCACAGCTATATGACGGCGCTCTGTAAATAAATGGGTCTGGAACAGACAATCCAGTGATTAACATTATGGGCATCAAATCATCAAATCCACGCAATTGGGATACGATGACATCCATCAACTCAGATTAACGAATGTCAGATTAACAAGACTTGACTGTGCTCACATGTCCTTCTCTGTAGAGCTGGGTGATGCCCATGTGGGTGTAGGTGGGTTCAGCATCACACAGATCCTGTGCCCTGTGGAATAATAATCATAATCATAATCATAATAATAATAATAAAAATATAGTGCCAAAATCCAACTAAGCTGCCCACAGTCGTCTTACACAATTATTACCCTGGTCAATCATGATGGATCAGTGTGAACTCATTTTCCATTCTCAACTCCCTGGAGAGTATACAACCCAAGCTGCCTGTGAGGTACCGGGTACCTATTCACTGCTGAGTGAACAGAGGCATAAATTGAACAATGTCACTTGACTAAGGAGACATCACATGTGTAATAACATGTGCTTCAGTGTGGGCCCTAGAAACTCTTCGGAACCAATGTTGCTTAACTTCACCTCAAACACTGCCTCTTAACCAGTTTTCACAACCAAAATGATCAGTGGTCAACATAGTAAAGGTATCTAACTATCTACGGCTGGACAGGTAACTCGGCTTCTCGGGTAAGGTGGGTCCTGGGTGGGTCCTGAGTAGGACCTAGGTACCCATAGGACTAGCCAGGCCAGTGGTTAGTCATTTGATATTTGTTTAAATACAATAACAATAAAAGTTGCTTATGTTTGCATTTCTTTCTGACTATGCACACATTGTTTCTGACTTTTATACATTTGACTTTGAGTAAAGATATGACTTCAGTTGACAGTGTGCATGATGTGATCCTTTTGTACGTGTATGTAAACAGATTTGCTCCGGGAAAACAATTCCCAATCGGACATTATGTCCCAGCTCATGAAACCTACAGTGGGTGCCCGGGTAGGGTGGGGTCGAGGACCGGGGTAGTAAATTTGGACTCACCCCAGCCCTATAACAATCCACGATTAATTTGATTAATATGATCTGATGATAAATTATCCTTCATACACATCATTATCAGGCAGGATGAGCTCCTGTTTTTGTTGCTTATCAGGAGTATCCATAGCCCTGTGTCAATTTGTTCATATCAAAATTGTTTTTTACCATTTTGTCCCTTGTTCATAATAAATAGAGAACATTAAGTATAGACTAATAACAGACATAAGCATTAATAGATATTCATGACGAATGTATTTTACCACTAAAACATACAAAATTTTGACTTTGAAATGGGAAATGTCGCAAAATCAAACAAACAGTAGAATCCTTTCCTCAACAAACAAGATGAACTTATGTATGATGCCTGTGCATGTCGGACTTACTGGAGTTCCTTCCCTTGCTTTAGTAGCGTCCACACTCCGTTCGGGCCTCTGTAATCTGGGATGGAAGCAGCCTGGAGAACAGACAACACAGCTACAGTCTTTGTAACTCACTCACATAATAGTTACAGACCAGGGACAGGCCACCACTGGTCATCAAACAACCAGAAGGACAAGTTGTATTGTCCCAAAATCTAGATAGTTCATATAAACAAGCAGTTGGAAACAGAGAGTGGACTATTTGGATATGACTTATCAGTGTTTGAAATTCAAAATCAAAGCCATAGGGTCCTTGTCATAATTTTGAGGTTAACAGTTACAGATTCGGGGGGTCCCTAGATTCACATAGCATAAGGCAAATCACAAGAAGCCCAGGACTCAACTAATTAAGAAATACAGTTGTTAATCATTCAATAAAACACTGCAGGGAGAATAAACCATGAGAGGCGAAGCCCCTAGTGGTTTATTCTCCCCGCAGTGTTTTATTGTACAAAAAACAACAACCACGCGTCGTTTATTTCTTATGAGATATCAATATTATGTACAGTCTCTTTAAGGATGTTGATAAAATGAACAAGTTTTTAAAATATTTACCCGTATTTACATAATGATGACTCCCTGAATAGAATCCTTGGCAATGTTCGACAAGTCCATTTTATAATCAGGGGGTCTTTCCCGCATACTCTCACAATATTCACATCGATTATCTGTACCTGTTCTCCCAATACTGATTGTCATATCTCTCTCACTTTTGGATTCGATCGTTCGACCATTGTGTTTATCTTCTTTGCCTAGCAACATCTATTGGGAAAAACTCACGAAATAAATCATACTACGTTCTTCATCGTTCTTTGTGATTTATCGCATAGCTATCTTATATTCATGAATTCTGCTAATGGTGCCTATCTCTGTGCATATGTTCAAAAGCTTTGTTTACAAAAAGTTTCATGTTAATTGATGTATGGATGTATTAATGAAATTAAAGGGCGAGCCTCTGTGTTGTTCTCACAAGAGCATCTTAATCTTGGGACCCCTAAATTTTAAAACATGTTAGAAAGGTTATTATACATGTTAGTATGCAAGGACCCCTTGATATATATACCTACGCTTGAACATTGTATCATTGCTGTATACCTTGTGTGACAGAAAAATAATGCAACTGAAAGAATTTCCATGTACCGGTACATGTTTCAGCATTGAGGGTTGAACCTCTTAAATGATGCATCATTGTGTAACCATTCCTCCATACATTTTATCTTGCTTACAACTGAAAACTGGTCAATTCTTATTGCGCCATCTGCAAACTAATACAGTAAAACCCAGATCCAACTTTAATGGCCTGGATCCAAGCCACTTAAAACATCAATACATGATCATACTGTTTAGGCAGTTTTATATCTCTTGTATGGATTAAGATGTGGGGGAAAAACTCTTAAGTGAATATCAGTATCAGGGGTAATTACAAAAAGCTCTGACATAAACTTTTAATTTGTTCCTTATTGTTGAATATTAAGGGTAGATGGATCTATATACTAAGTAGCACAAACACAATGAAGAGTCCCTGAAGGAGTAATCCTGGGCACATTCAAGCCAGGAATCACTTAGAGTAAGCTCACCCTGGGGTCTGCAACAGCTCGAAGCGTTTGCACACTCTTCCAAAATGGCAGCGCAACCACCTCTTGGTTGACCTGCCCTAATGAAGAACGTAACAGAAGAGACTCGATGACTAGCCGATGCATTTATGACTACTTTGTAGATGTGGAGCAGACTCAGGATGGTGCGATGTTAGCTGCCATTGCCAATTTCCCAGTTGATCCAGTCAAGAATTTCTTGTTCTGCTGTCAAACTCAGCCGCCATTTTGGTTTGAGAATGAAGCAACCTCAGCCAGTGGTTGTTGCGCATGTAAGCGGCTGAAAGTTAGCTCAATGTTGTAAGGTAAATCACTGTACATCGCTTAGAGGCGACTGGTGCTTTGCTATGCACCCCTGGTTTCCATGTGGCTATTACTGCATTCCTGATTATACTCACTGTGCTTATTCCTGCTCCTGTGTAGATGACTATCTTGTTGGATGCCTTGATGGCGTTGGCAAGCTGCTGACATTTCAACTTGAGGATATCAGGCTCATCTTCAATCTGTTGAATCAAATGTATTACAATGAAGAACCAAACAAGACATTTCAGTTAGATTTACCATTTAACAGACAGAAAATTCCCACTATTCTGATCAGGTGTAGCAAAGCTACTAAGTGGATACCCAAACAGGAAATGAAGGAAAATGAACTTACATGGTAAATTCTAAAAAACATACAACTGTTAAGACATCACAAGGTTCATTTTGACCCAATAGATATGACGTCCCTAAACATTGCAAGACTCTTTCATTGTCAATTACTGTGAAGTATTCTGCTAAAAATATAGTGCAACACGTACTTTGAATATTGTAGGAATGGTAACTCTGCTTTTGTAAAGTGAGTGAATTTGCTTTTACGCGGCTTTTAGCAATATTCCAGCAATATCACGGCGGGGGTACATCAGAAATGGGCTTCACACATTGTACCCATGTCGGGAATCGAACCCGGGTACAAAAGTACATCTGTTGATATGATTATCTGAATGCAACCATCCATTATTGACATGATAGAGAAAAAGTGACTTCCTATAAATATAAGCTTCCACAATGATTTGGCTGTCAAATCATCTGTTTTAAAGAGAGGATTTTTCTGTGTTTTGAAACCTCTGATTGACCAATCAGAATCGAGAATTTTCCAAACTCACGGTAGAATATTGATTTAGGTATTTGTGTTAAGTGTTATGCTTATCAAACAACCTCAAGTTCTCTTTGTTTTTGTGCATGTTGAATCTTCTCTCTCTTCTGTACAGCCTTGACGACTTCGGGTGACTCCTTTAAAATACTTGTCTCTTCATTTGTACGTTCATCTTCAGCCTTCTTTAAGATGTCACGAATCTGATGATACAAGAAGGAAAACACAAAGCTATAATTGGACATGGTTGAATCTGATGATACATGAAGGAAAACGAGAGCTGTATTGAGAGGTTGTTATCTTGACAATATTGGGGGCATACTGCAATTTATCGGATACCCTTTTCAGTTTCAATTAGCACTGCATAAGTACAGAAAGATTGAGCATGTCTGGCTGATAAGTTAATCTATTTTGCGAACCTTTACAACAGGACTGACTATGTTATCACAAATAATAAGTCACTCATTTACCTCTTGTTTACCTAGAGTGCATATGTGGCAGCCACTTTTTTCCAAAAAAACTCGCAACTTTAAATAAAAGCAAGGATTTACCTCAAATTACATTTGATTGGAAAGAGGTGAGAAAGCGAACCTTTGTTACAAATAACCCTAAGAACTGAAAAGTAGTACCTTACCCTTAGGTTCGTAAAAGGTTTTTGATAAGCAAGGGGTGTCGAACCCTGGGGATCGTGAAGGGGTGTTTCAATTGGAATGGGGTACCTAACCCTAATGACAATAAATGGGTATTTTATTGTATAGGGGATCAAAGAGCTAAGAATGGAGTTGTTTTGAGGCTTTGTCTATAAGCGTTGTAGTAGCATGGTATGCTATATTATCACTGTAGTTAACATATAATGGATCCTTTAGCGAATCTTTGCTAACATATTAAATATGTCATATGCAAAATGTTTCTTGCTCTTTTATGACACATCAATTAGGTTTGATCGATTCTGATTTTCTTTACCGAGTTTGGTAAACAATGTACCTGTCATAGGCGACTCAAGGACAGGCAACACTATCTTATCGCGGCATCACTATTTTGTGGTGCAATATGTGTGGATAATGTGCTTTATATCACTTCTTATTTTGGATTATGCACAATCAGTATTTATACAACCTAGGTTGGGTCAAGGGACATCGTCAAAACAAGTGGAAATTCCACTTCAAAAACATTCCAGAAACTATCATAAAAAAGTTAATGTGTATAGGCCCTGCCTACGAGTACCCATGACAAACAGAAACCGAGTTCTGTATTTGATCATGCAATGAAATATCGTGCTTAGATTTGCATAAGTAAACAGTTGACAGGGGGCGTGGATTACGAGATTTACACATACAGCGGTAATATAGAGCCCTTGATAATATAGAGTCATACTATACATTGCAGCGTTTCAATGGGCATAGATCTACTGATCCTATGCTATGTCATGAACATTAAAAAAGTTGGCGACAAAGTGCAAACATGTCACTTCAAGTTCCAATTACTCATACAAGATATTGGGACAAAATCGACATCTCATCTGGTAGAAACATTATTCTTTCAAATCTGTGTTCGAACTTGTTTCACGATTCACACTCCGTAAGATACGTGACAGCGTCGGCATTAGCGGACATCCCCTACAGTGAGGAATCACGAGAACGCATGTGCAAACGAAATTACAGTACGGTGGAAACAGAAAGTGTCCATGTGTTGTAATATAAAGCAAGAAATGATCCTACAATCACCCTGATGTTCTTAACATGTGTGTGCGTCTGATGATTTGTTTACAAACAAATCGCCATTTCAGGGCGATTTTTCACATCTTATTCCGATGGAAAAATGATGGAAATGCAATCATTTTGGTACACACCTGCTTGAACCTTGCGTGTATTTCATCTTTAGCTGAAACCTGACGTAAAAATTTACATTTTCTCGCTTTCCTAGTCGATTTCTCGATCTCGCATCCTTCTACCTCCGCCATTGTCAACACAGTCGCTTCTGACATACATCATCAATAATCAGTGAAATGTTGAAAGAGAACTTCACAAAAACAATAAATGTCCCACGGTTTAGTTTCATAGTTATACGACGTGCGTATATCACTTCTTAGTATTGAACACTGAATACAATACTTCGAAATGTAATGAATGTTTGATGATAGAAGGGGCAAAGATCTATTTTTCAGTTCCGTTTTCAATATCCGGGTCCGACCATGACTTTATCTCTCTCGCTCAGACATTTCATTGTTATTCGCCATATTCGTTCTATATTCAAAATGGGAAGAGCTATTGTGTATTTTGGATTTGCATTTCAAAAAATGTGTCGACAGTGACAAAAAAGAGCACACGTATCCATGTTGCAGGACAAGTATTTTAGTATCATTTACGTTGACTTCGCCTTATCTTCCGCATTTTACAGTCCGTGTCTGAAACCGGCATGCGCTTGGAGCTTCTATTTCCGTGTCCTACACACGTCAGAGTGGCCTGACACCATGGAATCCACTCGAACATTCACCTTTTCTGATGAAGGGGATACAATGGAAATTCTCATCCCAGAGGTATACCCCATATTTTGGAAAAATGTTCTGGAAGTGCTCGAGTGTTTTACAGTAGGCCTGTCTTATATGGTTATCTCCCTTTACCCGCGCCTCGAGGGCGGTCGGGTAGCCTAGTGGTTAAAGCGTTAGCTCGTCACGCCGAAGACCCGGGTTCGATTCCCGACATGGGTACAATGTGTGAAGCCTATTTCTGGTGTCCCCCGCCGTGATATTGCTGCAATATTGCTAAAAGCGGCGTAAAACCTCACTGACTCACCATTTACCCGCACCTCAATTCGCATTAGTCTCGGAGCAGCGGACAACGGTAGCCTAGTAGCCGGACACTCACCAAACATTTACTGAAAGCTAATTAGGTAATCTGCTGATAACCAAAATTAAGAGTCAAGCATACCGGTAATCCGTTTTCCCCACAGATCATTAATATGTCTGCTAGAGATAACTCTGGGGTAGTGCACTTTACCGGGCGCACTTTTTCAGATCCAATTAGCGCCAAAATAATACCCAGTCATGTATGATACGACATGTTAATATTGAGGTGAATGTTTTAATGTCGCCATTCCATTCTAATTCCATTGCAATTTTTTTTAAAAAGAAACATATGAAATGTCCGACTTCTGCCTCACTGCTGTCCGGGTACAGCTGACTGTGTCCGAGTACTACCTAAGCTGTCGTCAAGCTAAAAGTATCCAGCTTCAGGATGAGCAAGACGTTCTTTGCCTGTTGGTCAATTTTGAAACTCCCACAGTTGTCTCCCTTTGTATCAGCAATTTGCCGTTCAAATCTGACATTAAATTTTTTTTTTCAAAAGTCTGTGTGCTGTATTGCGATGATTGTTGTGTCTGGGTACTGCCTCCCATGCTCTAAACTATGTTTACCATCTATGGTCATTATTGTGGTATTAAGCCTATATACGTTCTACCATAAAAATATATACAATTATGTCTTATTTATTTACTGCAATTCGATGTCGTGTATTCCTTAGGTGATAGACCCTGCCTTTGGGATGTACGTGTGGCCATGTGCCCCTGTTCTGGCCCAATATGTCTGGTTCCACAGAGAAGAAATCAGAAACAAACATGTGCTAGAGGTAAGCTGCAGGGATAACGTTCTAGATGCCCTGTGTTCAATGAGTATTATCGTGAAAGGAAATGGGCAGGTAGCTTTGTGGTTAAGGCATTTGCTAGTCACACCAAAGACCCGGGTTTGTTTCCCGACATGGGTACAATGTGTGAAGCCCATTTCTGGTGTCCCCTGCCATGATATTGCCGGAATATTGCTAAAAGCGGCGTTAAGCCATACTCACTCACACTCACACTATCCCGCATGTCCTAGAGGTAAACTGCGGTAGTAACGTTCTAGATGCCATGATATTGCTGGAATATTGCTCAAAGCGGTGTAATAACTGTACTCACTCACGTGAAAGGTATCTGAATCTATGGTTAATGCATAATGAGATGACAGCTCACCATCTGGTTAAACCTAACCTTTTTGTGTGCCAGTCCATTAGATCTGTAGGTATTACACGGCGGTCGCAAAATAATCTCCTTGCCATGCAAACCAGTGGTTGATAACAGGAATATAGATGACACACAACCAGCCAGGTCAGCCATTAATTGTAACCACCCAATCAACATTTTAGTTGCCTTGTAGGACATTCGTGAGATGCCAGGGCCGAATCTGCCTGGAATCCACGTCATACCAGTCAGACTGGCCCTGAGGAATGTTGTTAGTTTGCTCACTCACTCACACGTCTCCTAGCTTGTTAATATCACCACTACATGTGTGCAGGTATTACTGTATATGTGGATGTCGGGTATCCTAGTTTTCAAAGGTTTGCTTGTCACATCCAAGGGCCTTTTTCAATAACCCATATGGGTACGATGTGTGAAGCCCATTTCTGGTGTTCTCCTCTGCTATATTGCTGGAATATTGCTAAAAGCTGCATAAAACCGCCCTCCCTCCCTACTATATCTGTATGTAATACTCAGTTGTCTTAAGCACTGTTATTTGCTGTGTTGTGTGTTATAGCCCCTTATTGTGCCAGGATCTGCTGACCAGGATTTGCGTTCTTTTGTTCCCAAAAGTAACTTCCTGGGTCACTTTAGACTTTCCTACAACATGAAGCTGACATCCATGATAAAACTTGTTCATGAATACAGTTCAGCTCAATCATATGCTCGGAGAAGTGAGCTCGGGTAATCGAATACGTTCTGGAATAGCTGCCTTTAAAGTGACAATGGTCATGATTCATAATTTTAGCAATGACTGTTCCATGAGTCAAAGATTTTATGATCCCTGTCAAACAACGTCTACAAAACATTGTGGATTTTATGATCCCTGTCAAACAACGTCTACAAAACATTGTGGCAAATATGTCTAATTCAGCTGCTAAAACTGATGCGTTACACGAGGTATAACATTTGTCAAAATGATTTATGTCCTGTTTGGCAGATCGGTGCAGGGACAGCTCTACCAGGAATCCTTGCTGCCAAATGTGGAGGAATTGTCTCCCTCAGTGACAGTGCCAACTACCCACGTTGCCTTGACAACTGCCGCAAGAGTTGCGAAGCTAACGGACTGAGGGGTGTGTCAATTCATGGCCTTACTTGGGGGGAGTTTTCACCCGCTTTGCTGCAGCTTCCTCCTCAGGACATCATACTTGGTTCTGACTGCTTTTATTCCACTAAAGGTAATCCGCCAATGATGAGAGGGGTTTAGCCCAGTGGTTAAAGCCATCGCTCGGCATGTAGGAGCCTCGACAATCCAGTGCAGAGTTGCGTCCCTTGGGCACGCCAGAAACCTATGATTGTGGGTTCGAATCCCGGTTCGCCCCGATTATGTTTCTAGGTTTGTCAGCACCAAACCCGTGCTCGTGGGTTTCACCGAAGTGGTAAACGTCTGAGACCTGCATCACTTCGGGCTTTCCTCCCACATTAAGCTGACACGCCGCGATATAACTGGAATATTGTTAAAAGCGGCGTTAAATTCAACTCACTCACACTCACTCGACAATCCAGTTAATTGTATCTACATTCTATTATGATCCATATCCTGGACCCAGTCATTCCTTGTCAGCCCGATTCAAATAACCAAATCACTTCAAATGTAGCCTAGCTGTCTAATCAAATTGCACCAATAAGCGAAAGAAAGTGCCCCATTGAAATTGTGACGTCACATCAGAAACGAATACCTGAGACTCATAAAGACCCTGGGTAGAATAGGTCATCAACAACCCATGCTTCCTGTAAAAGGCGACTATGCTTGTTGTAAGAGGCGACTAACAGGATCGGGTGGTCAGGCTCGCTGACTTGGTTGATGCATGTCATCGTATCCCAATTGTGTGGTCAATGTGTGGTCATGATGTCAGTCACTGGATTGTCTGGTCCAGACTCGATAATTTACAGATCACCGTCATATAGTGGGAGTATTGCTGAGTGCAGTCTTAAACAACAAACAAAAGAAAACATTGGACGAACACCCTGAGTAATACAGGTTGTTTTCCACCTTGGTTAAACCCACTTTCACTGGAATAGTACTGACAAATCTAGAAACAAAATCAGGGCAACCTGGGATTCGAACCAACGGTGCCAGATATCTGGCACCCTTAAGGGACCCAGCTTGAGGTACCTGAGAGGATGTGCTGGCCGTTTGATGATGAAAGATTTTGTGGACAGTTTTTGAAAACAGTAGTAGTATTGTTGCATACTTCCCCCCAGGATGGACAATACATTCGAGAGGTCACACTTAATGACAAACACATCACATGAGTAAGCTCCCTTTAGGATTAATTCATATTTGGTCCATTTAGGATGTACCAAAGCATGTCTCTTTTATGCTGATAAAATATGTGTCAAAATGTTCACAACAGGAGCAGACTCTGGAATTCACTGTACCAAGTTGCGTTTCTTAAGTGTGTCAGGATCCTGTTACTGTGGATTCCATTTCCAGATTCGCCCTGATTCTGGGTTTGATACACCATAACCCCCCTCGAGGGTTTCATGAAGTTGTAAAAATGTATCACTTCTCCCCCACATCAGGGGTGCTGTCGGGTAGCCTAGCGGTTAAAGTGTTCACTTGTCAAACCGAAGACCCAGGTTCGATCCCCAAAACGGGTACAATGTGTCAAGCCCATTTCTGGTGTCCCCTGCCAGGATATTGCTGGTGTATTGCTAAAAGGGGTGTAAAAGCAAACTCACTCACTCACTCACTCACTCTCCCCAATCAAGCTGACATGTCATGATGTAACTGAAACACTGTCACTCACTCACTCACTCACTCACTCACTCACTCACTCACTCACTCATTACAGGGGTTGTCTATATTTCAGATTTCGAAGACATCTTGGTCACTGTTGCCTACCTTCTCCAAAAGATGCCGACAGCTGAGTTCTGGACAACGTACCAGGAGAGAAGGTCAGGGTTTTTTTAAGTTTTGTTTGTTTGTTGTTTACACCACACTCTGCAACATTCCAGCTATATGACTGCAGTCTGTAAATAATCGAGTCTGGACCAGACAATCCAGTGATTGACATCGTGATCACCAATCCATAAAGTTTGGGTCAACCAAGTCAGTGAGTCTGACCACCCAATCCCATTGGTCACCTCTTGTGACAAGCATGGGTTGCTGAAGACCTATTTGAGCCTATTTTGTCATTGTCGATTATTTACATACCACCATAACATAACTGAACTATCACTGAGTGCGGCCTTAAACAACAAGCAAAAAACATCAACTCAAATCTTTGTGTACAGGATGCATCCAGTGATAGTTATAACGAACTGGTACTATTTTCCTTTCACAGTGCGGACCGGTCCATTGAGCACCTGTTGATGAAATGGAAGATGTGTTGCAGACACGTCCCACTCCCCTTGTTTGAGGCAGACAGTACCGGCATTGCTGGCTCGACTCTGCCAGGCAACCACACTGTACATATGATGGTCATTACTTTGTGCAGAGATAGTGGCTGATGGCATGGTTACCGATATACCCGAGTTGTCTCACAGACAATGTTCAGATGGATGAAAAACATAGCGTCCAGAGATAGCGGCTGATGGCACGGTTGCTGATGTACCCGAGTTGTCTCACAGACAACGTTCAGATGGATGAAAATCACGGCGTCCAGAGATGGGGGCTGATGGCGCGGTTACTGATATACCCGAGTTGTCTCAGACAACGCTCAGATAGATGAAAATCATGGCGTCCAGAGATGGGGGCTGATGCCGCGGTTACTGATATACCCTAGTTGTCTCACAGACAACGCTCAGATGGATAAAAACATCTTGTGTCCAGAGACAGGGCTGATAGCACGGTTACTGACATACCCGAGTTGTTGAGACAAGGCTTGATGGATAAAAACATGGCGTCCAGAGATAGGGGCTGATAGCACGGTAACTGACATACCCGAGTTGTTGAGACAAGGCTTGATGGATAAAAACATGGCGTCCAGAGATAGCGGCTGATGGCATGGTTGCTGATGTACCCGAGTTGCCTCACAGACAACGTTCAGATGGATGAAAATCATGGCGTCCAGAGATGGGGGCTGATGGCACGGTTACTGATGTACCCGAGTTGTCTCACAGACAAGCTCAGATGGATGAAAATCATGGTGTCCAGAGATAGGGGCTAATGGCACGGTTACTGATGTACCCGAGTTGTCTCACAGACAACGCTCAGATGGATGAAAAACACATGGTGTCCAGAGATTGGTCCAGACGGCATTGTAATGGATATTTTCTTATTGATTGAGATTGTCTGGAATAAAGACATGACGACAATTAATATGTCGCTGGTCATATGGTTGCCGAACTTTCCACGATACTTCAGTTGGTTGAGTTTATCAGCAAAATATGAAGTGTCAAGGTCATTATGATTACAGGCCTAATGTTCAAGACCGCCTCCGTGGTCTTGTGGTAGAGCGTCCGCCCGGAGAGCGGAAGGTCCAGGGTTCGATCCCGGGCCGCGTCATACAAAAAGACGTTAAAAGATTGTACTTGTTGTTACCCTGTCTGGCGCTCGGCATTAAGGGGCTAAAACAAGGACTGGTCGGCTCGGAGTCAGTATACTGTGTCTGAGTGGGGTATTCATGTTAAACTGCGGCATGGTATCTCAGTGAGCTAGCACTATAAATCGGCATCAGTCCGGACTAGTACAAGCAGCCACACACACACATACACATGCATGCACGTCGCTATATAAGTGCAATAATCTTGGACGCGACGTTAAACCCAATTTCACCTCACCTCACCTATTTATATAAGTGCAATAATCTTGGACGCGACGTTAAACCCAATTTCACCTCACCTCACCTAATGTTCAATGCACACAATTTGACATGTGACAACACCATCTTTAGGTTTGTTGGGAGATGTGATAACAACACTTTGACAAGAGTTCACTAAATAAGCTGTGTTGAATATGACCTTCGGTACAAACGAATAAGTTTAATGGTTAAAATATATACCGGATGTGACCTAAACAGATGCCAAACAACATCCAAGGCACGCGTTTCCTATTGTATAATTCCCTGTATTTCCATATTTGCATTATTACTAATCTACCTCAAAGAGGTGAGGTGAGGTGAAATGGGGTTTAACATCGCATCCAAGATTATTGCTCTTATATAAATAAGCACAATATATATAAAAGATATTGGTGTGTGTCTGCTTGTAGTAGTCAGGACTGCTGCTGATTTAGTGCCAGCTCACTGAGGTACCATGCCACAGTTTAACATGAATACCACCTTCAGACACAGTATACCATCTTCCCGAGGCAAGAGAGTTAACTGACTTTAAAAGTCCAGTTTCCACCCTTGCCGAACTAGGCTGGAATTACTGGGCTAGATCGTAGCGCCACCACTGGATGTTACCAGTTATGTCCCTTCTAAGCCTCTCCTATGGACTAATCAGATTCCACTTCTCGTATCACTTGTGTTTGCTTCACATAAAATGGTGGCGCCAAGTCAGGACGATCTGATCGATAAGAAAGATCTATACTGTGATAAAACGGGTCTCACATCGCGAAATGCATCAAATCACGAGAGCACCTTGATACCAAACATGAAAAGATTTGGAAAATATCTGCTGACAACGAGTTGGCAGTGCACATGCTTTGCAAATCCTGCAATCGACCGAAATCTGCATGATAGTTTACGAACCGGATTTCGATGCATAGACTCGTTAGCCCAGCCAAAATGTAACTCCATAATAGCCTTGTTCGGCAAGGGTGGAAACTGGACTTTTAAAGTCAGTTAACTCTCTTGCCGCGGGAACATGCAGTATACTGACTCCGAGCCAACCAGTCCTTGTTTTAGCCTCTTAATGCCGAGCACCAGACAGGGTAACAACAAGTACCATCTTTTAAGGTCTTTTGGTATACTGTTGCATACGGCGGGGCCTCGGTAATGGTTTGGGGATGTATCTCTCATGATTGCAGGTTGGATTTGGTCACCATAAGAGGCAAGTTAACAGGGGCTCAGTACATCGGGTACGTTTTGAGGCCAGTCGTCGTTCCTCATTTTGACAACCACCCTCTTGCTACTCGACTTCAGTACATGGATTACAATGCCAGGCCTCATCGTTCGCATGCAGTCGTGGATTACATGAAGGCCAATGCAATAAAGACTCTACCCTAGCCAGCAATGAGCCCAGATTTGAACCCCTTTCAACATGTTTGGGATATTCTGGGGCGTCGCCTACAGGCACGAGATCCTCCTGTACAAGATTTACGCCAATTGGAAGCAGCATTGCATCAGAAGTGGTTGTTGACCCATCAACAGATACAACGTCTGACTGGAGGCATGAGACGTAGGGTGGAATGCGTCATCCGGACACGTGGCGGTTATACCAGCTACTGATCTGTTTCACGTGAAATGTCAAGTAGAGACTTTAAGGAACATTTTCACTGAAACATCAAACGTAACTCTTTTACTTAAGCCTGCAGCTCGATACTTTTTTCAGGTATTGGCTAAGGTCAAAAACAGTACCTGTGTTACCATGATGTTTTTGTCAGTAAATTCCAATCACAACTCACCAATATCTTCTTTATTTGTTGTCAAATGTTTGTTCTATCCGATAACATTGGTATTGCCCAGCTCCTGTGGTCAGTCATCCCATGCCATGATTTTTGCGATTTGTCATGGTTCAGAAATAGGGGTGTGCTTAACTTTTTTCTTTGTGTATATGTTTTATCACCATTTTGTTTTTAATATGCTGTGGCAGTCGCACGTTTACGCCATTCGTCTCGACTCCGCCCAATCCAACCCGAAACTGCACCGTGAATGACTCCATATCTCGGTGGACTGTCGTCTCAGAAAGGACCCCCAAACTGACTCCGGGACAGCATTGGTCTCAAGAATTCAATGCTTTTCACAGCCGACTCAGGGTACCCGGACGTGAGAGGTTGCCACCAGAGGGAGAGTAAATCACTGACCTCGCTCTAACCAAGTGTCCACGAGGACTGGTCGGCTCGGAGTCAGTATACTGTGTCTGAGTGGGGTATTCATGTTAAACTGCGGCATGGTATCTCAGTGAGCTAGCACTATAAATCGGCATCAGTCCGGCCTAGTACAAACAGCCACACAAACACACACACACGTACATGCACGTCGCTATATAAGTGCAATAATCTTGGACGCGACGTTAAACCCCATTTTACCTCACAGTAACAGGCGACTAACGGGATCCGATGGTCAGGCTCGCTGATTTGGTTGATGCATGTCATCGTATCGCATTTGCGTAGATCGATGATCATGATGTCAATCACTGGATTGTCTGGACCAGACTCGATTTTTAACAGATTGCCGTCATATAGATAGAATACTACTGAGTGCGACGTTAAAAAACAAACAAACAAATATAATAACAGTTTATATTTTAATACTTGACAACAACAAAAAATATACAACTATATACATGGTAAGCATTCATAAACCCGAGAAGCCATGTACCTCTCCTGGGGGTACGGTGGCCCAGTTGACTAAGACCCCGCAAATCTATGTGCAGTCTTGTAGGCTCGAATCCCGGTATGTTTCTAGGTTTGTCAGCAACATACCCGTGCTTGTGGGTTTAACCAAAGTGCGTCACTTCGGTCTTTCCTCCCACATCAAAGTGATACGCCGTGATATAACTGGAATACTGTTCGAAGCGGCGTGAAAAAAACTCACTCCGTACTCACTGTACCTCGCCAGGAGCACTCAGTCGTCAAAGTGAATGTCAGTTCTAATAAATCACTGTATAATACCCCTAAGAATGCATACCTAATTTCATTTAGTAGGTGTGACCACATGTACTAACATTGACAGCCATACAACATCTGTATCGCGGAATAAAATAGTTCCTCAAAAGGAGAGTCGACACGAGCGTGTGTATACTGAAATGGTTCCACAGTAAAAAAAAATCAGTTTACTTACAAAAAAAAAGTTCAAATAATATACTTGAATGAGAACGGTCTGTTAAGTGAGTCAGACATGGTGACCGTGCGTCGAAATTCATTCACATTAACGTATAAGACGCCAAAATGGCTGACGCGATTAACGTGACGGGAGAGATTTCAGAAGTTGTTGATGAACCTGTGTCGATTACACGTGTTTGTCATAATTGATCTTTTGTTCGATCATCAGCTGTCTATAAAGATGTGACAAATATGTAAGGAGTAAATTCACAGAGTGGTGTTAACTCTCACTGTCAGCTTAGGTACGGGTCGAGTTTTGTTAACTGGGATTGGTCGCAGCCAGGATACTAGTCTTGGTGCAAGGGAAAGCAGTCGAACTCGCAGACTTTTCCCAATCAAGGCTAAAACGATTAGTTCGGCATTAAGGGATGAGAAACATCGCATCTGTATTTATTCGTGCTTGGGAGTTCCAAAGGATGTAGTACGCCAATATTTACGTCATTTCAAGAAAAGTCTTGTGATAAACGTTTTGAACGTCAAAATGTCGTCAATTTTGCTATGATATGACCGGCCGCCTCTCGTCCAATGGAAAAAAACAGTATATGTTGTAAACTTCACGTGTAAAAAGATGAAAAAATGAATTGTTTGTGCCAATAGACTGAGACAGTAAACAAAGAAGTAACAGTACATTTTAACACAGAACACATATAAAGATTCTTTAAGAATAAATATACACGGGAGATAAAAATATAAACACGTCATGATTTAATACAAGTAATTGATTTGTTCTTCTGGTTCTCCGTGGATGTTCTCCCGGAGACCCTACGTGTTGAGACACTTGCAGGATCCGGGCAACCTGACCCACTCGATTTGGTATCTGTCGTCGTCGTCTTCATCCTCGTCTTCGTTCACCGTGACTGCCGTCGTATATTCCACATTTTGGGAACACACGCCGTAGTTATAATTGGAAACATGACTGAAAAAGATAGAATCAAAACAATCAGTTCCTTCGGACATGGGAAGGTGTGCACCGTGACATACATGGTACCTAAGGACCGTCTCCGTGATCTAGTGGTAGAGCCCGGGGTTCGATCCCCGACCGCGTCATACCAAAAGACGTTAAAAGATGGTACTTGTTGTTACCCTGTCTGGCGCTCGCCATTAAGGGGCTAAAACAGGGACTGGTCGGCTTGGAGTCAGTATACTGTGTCTGAGTGGGGTATTGATGTTTAACTGCGGCATGGTATCTCAGTGTGCTAGCACTATAAATCGGCATCAGCCCGGGCTAGTACAAGCAGCCACACACACACACACACACACACACACACACACACACGTGCATGCACGTCGCTATATAAGTGCAATAATTTTGGACGCGACGTTAAACCCCATTTCACCTCACCTCACCACATGGTACATAACGGGACTTGGCGCGGTGGCAGTTCTAAAATGTTTTTTCTTTTCTTAAAACCCTTGTTAATACGAAGTTTAATCATGTATATTGAACTGGGTTTTTTGCGGTACGGACGGCGGACAGCGGTCCATAACGTAAGCACAAAAGCATTAATAGTAATAGGTGTTTTACCTGCACTGCTCGAACTTGAAGAACTGTTTCCTGTTGCCAAACTGGGCTATCGTCTTCAAAACGCCCGTCACAGAGGTCATTGTCGCTTCGTCTCTGAAGAACGCCTGTCTGTAACACAACATGTCAATAGAACACATCAATATCGTTGTTTCAATGTGAAAATGCTTTTCACCAAGATTTTGAACACGCCGTGTAAGAGTGAGTGAGTGAGTTGAGTTTAACGCCGCATTTAACAGTTATAGCGCGGCGTGTCAGCTTAATGTGGGAGGAAAGCCCGAAGTGATGCAGGTCTCAGTCGTTTACCACTTCGGTGAGATCAACGAGCACGGGTATGGTGCTGACGAACCCAGAAACATTATCCGGGCGAACCGGGATCGCCGTGTAAGAAGGGGAAACTATTCAGAAATAACGTTTGTCAACATAGTCAGTTTCAGGGGCACTTGGGGTGGGGGTTGGGGTGTATTTTTGTTATAATATGCAGCTTAAAAAAGGCGTATAAACAACAGGCCTCCACACGACGGAGATGGTTCAATGCAGGGAGCATTAGTTTTGTACCCCGGTCAACGTATCCGTCTACATTCAAACTGCATTAGGGGCGGTCGGGTAGCCTAGTGGTTAAAGCGTTCGCTCGTCACGCCGAAGACCCGGGTTCGATTCCCGACATGGGTACAATGTGTGAAGCCCATTTCTGGTATCCCCCGCCGTGATATTGCTGGAATATTGCTAAAAGCGGCGTAAAACCATACTCAGTCACTCACTCACTCAAACTGCATTCTAAGCTCCCTGGGGAATGTACAGTTAATACAGGTTAGTTTAGGGTCGGTCACGTCATTTGCTGGGAACCCACGAACATGTATTCGGCACTCATGTTCAGACGTCATTAAACAGCATTATAATAACACAGTGTCCCGATAATAACACAGTACCTGATAATAACACAGTGTCCCAATAATAACACAGTACCTGATAATAACAGCGTCCTGATAATAATACAGTACCTGATAATAACAGTGTCCTGATAATAACACAGTACCTGATAATAACACAGTGTCCTGATAATAACACAGTACCTTATAATGACAGTGTCCTGATAATAACACGGTGTCCTGATAATAACACGGTACCTGATAATAACAGTGTCCTGATAATAACAGTGTCCTGATAATAACAGTGTACCTGATAATAACAGTGTCCTTATAATAACAGTGTCCTGATAATAACACAGGGTGCTGATAAAAAAACGATACATATGATACTTACGATTGACAACATGCGTGGTTGAGAACAGGACCCGATATCTGACGCGCAGGAAAACTGCCATTTTTTGCGGCACACCTGACAGTGCAGTTGCTTTTCCCGAGTACCTTGCTCTTGACTGGCGTGTACTGTCCGGTTAAGTTGAACAGGCGCAACTGCTGCACTTCCGTAACAAACAGGGTTGGGTACCGCTCAACAATACGTTCTTCAATACTTTTCCTTGACCTGGATACAAGAAATTGGCCACAGTTAGACCCACAATAAAATGGATTTGGAGAAAACTGTACACATCGCTACCAGCTTGACGAGGCTAAATGCAGCATCGATGGACAAAAGCGTGTGTATGGGCGTTTTTATCAATATTCCAACATCATAACAATATTCTAGAATCATCACTGCGAGGGAAAACCAGAAAAGAGCTTCACACAGTGTACCCATATTGGGAATCGAACCTGTCATCGCAGTGACGTGTGAATGCTTTTCCGACCAGACCCAATGCCTCCTTCCACGTTAAGCAGAACTGATGACTCAATTACAAATGACGTATCTCAAGTGAATTAGTTAAGTTCCCATCCCTAGCATACATAAAGCTGTATCATTGTTTGTTTGTTTGCAGTTTAACGCCGCATTCAGCAATATTCCATTCATATGACAATAAATTGCGAATATTTGTTTGATATAAAGTGAAACGGTGTTAATCTGGGCAATGCCGTTCCTAGGGTAATCGTCGGGATTAATGAGTTTGTTTGTTTGTTTTACGCCGCATTCAGCATATTCTAGTTATATGACGGTGGTCTGTAAATAATCGAGTCTTGACCAGACAATCCAGTGATTGACATCATGAGCATCGATCCACGCGATTGGGATACGATGACAAGCATCAGCCAAGTCAGCGAGCCTGACAACCCGATCATGACAAGCCCTGGACAAAGTACGCCTTTTGTGGCAAGCATGGTCTGCTGAAGACCGATTTTTACCCGGATCTTCGCGGGTGTAAAGTTGCATTTACTCGGCAAGTCTACTGTGTCTACTCTGAACAGAAAATGTCAACACCATACACGAACGGGCGTCCTTACACGTGACAGTGCCTTATATTAAGGCTGTTATGTTTATAAGGTGAGGTGAAATGGGGTTTAACGTCGCGTCCAAGATTATTGCACTTATATAGCGACGTGCATGCACGTGTATGTGTGTGTGGCTGATTGTACTAGTCCGGACTGATGCCACACTCAGACACAGTATACTGACTCCGAGCCGACCAGTCCTTGTTTTAGCCCCTTAATGCCGAGCGCCAGACAGGGTAACAACAAGTACAATCTTTTAACGTCTTTTTGTATGACGCGGCTGGGGATCGAACCCCGGACCTTCTGCTCTTCGGGCGGACGCTCTACCATTAGACCACGGAGGCGGTCTGTTATGTTAGGCTAGTGTACTCCTTACTCATGCTTCCTGGAATATTATCAAATGATCATAAAACACGAACTCACCCGACCTCCTTCCAAATGAGGTAGCACGCCAATGATACAGTTGTTATACAGAATGCAATAGCAACAACAACCTGCAAGGAAAACCTTTACAATATTAGTCACATGTCATTGAAAGAAAAAATATTTATACAATGACCTGAATGACTTCATATAAAAAACTAAAAAACTTACCGGTCTTATGATCTAACAAAGGGTTGCCTCATATATATTGACCATTTGACAGACATAACAACTCAAAAACTTCACGGTATTATGATCTAACAAAGGGTTGCCTGAACTTGCCTCACATATATTGACAGTTTGACAAACATAAAAACTCAAAAATTTCACGGATTTATTATTTCAATAGCAGGTTGCCTCTTTCATTCTTGTACCGACCGCCTCCGTGGTCTCGTGGTAGAGCGTCCGCCCGGAGAGCAGAAGGTCCGGGGTTCGATCCCCGACCGCGTCATACCAAAAGATGGTACTTGTTGTTACCCTGTCTGCCTTGTCGTCTCGGAGTCAGTATACTGTGTCTGAGTGGGGTATTCATGTTAAACTGCGGCATGGTATCTCAGTGTGCTAGCTCTATAAAACGGCATCAGTCCGGACTAGTACAAGCAGCCACACACACACGTGCATGCACGTCGCTATATAAGTGCAATAGTCTTGGACGCGACGTTAAACCCCATTTCACCTAACCTCATTTTTGTACCACCCTGCGTGGTTTTGAGTACTTAGATGAAACTGAACCTGGTAATAGTCTGCATAGCGGGGTTTCCGGATTAAGAGGGTTCGTGTAATTACTAAAGCTCCTCACAGCGATAGTCACAGCAAGTTGAAATCGCAATCGCCTGTCGCGACGCCGAGTACGCTCTCCCCAGCAGCCAACAACCACGCATGAATTGAGATCACAATCCCCTGACCGCTGTTTACAAATAAGTGATGACTGTCGCGACGGCGAATACTTTTTCCCCAGCTTAATTATTTATTTCTGCTTGTCAATTTGAATTTCTATTTCACTTCAAATATCATATAATTGGTACAGTGAGAAAGCAAGAGGGAATATGGTACTTTTTCTGTCTGTCTGCATTCTGGTCTGATTAAACAAACAAACGTAAATTCTCAGGGAAATAGTACGTCAGTCGTATTTTTTTTCCTAATTCACCAGAATGGCATTCCCAAAGACACTAAAACATAAATAATGAAAATTTGCAAGATCCTTCTGATGGCCGGTTGCACACTTGTCCGATACCGGGAGGTTGACGATTGTGTCACGCGCTGGGAAAGAGCTTGGCTACCATTGTGGATTGTTCTTGTTTCCGGACACAACTAGGAGATATCGACAGAACAAATGGATGTACGGGAAGGTTCAAAGTCAGAGCAGGGTCACAGTTTCGATGTCCGCGGAAAGTTGTCGCCACTCGCTTCCGGAATTGCACGAATTGTCAAGAATGGTCCGAAGAAAGTCATTTTATTGTGTCAACCGCGTACATACTACGCATACAATTTTGGTTTTAAATGTTTCAATGATACACGCAGTGATTATGGTGCCACTTTTGGACAAAATGTCATCTCTTGACGGACATGTCCACGCGTGGACTCACTGGAATAATGTGAACAAGCCTCAGAGTTACCATCGCTGGTGGCACCGACAGAGTTTCGGTCTAGGAAATGCTAACAGCGCTTTTGTAATTCGTATGTTGAGTGCATGGGTGGCATAGTGTCTAAGGCACCGGAGTACACTCTACGGGGTTGCCTCCCTTACTCGTGCCAGAATCCGATGATCGCGAGTTCGAATTCCAGATTCGACCTTGTTTATTCGTCCATGATTATTGTATTTTCACTCATTCCCGTGTTCGTAGGTTTCATCAAAGTTGTCAACGTCTAACTACTTAATGAAGACACCCGTGAAGACCCGGGGTAGAATAGGTCTTCAGCAACCCATGCTTGTCGTAAAAGGCGATTATGCTTGTTGTAAGAGGCGACTTACGGGATCGGGTGGTTAGGCTCGATGACTTGGTTGATGCATGTCATCGTATCACAATTGCGTATATCGATGCTCAAGATGTCAATCACTGGATTGTCTGGACCAGATTCGATTATTTACAGACCGCCGTCATATAGCTGGAATATTGCTGAGTGCGGCGTTAAACAACAAACAAGCAAACAAATATTGACATCCCTTCTCTAACTGCCCCACTGAACACTAACAACATGCCCCTTGCATCAAATAAGGGGCGGGGATTTGATATTCAAAGCAATTGTATGTGTTAAAGCGCTATTAGGAAAATAATTTCTGCTTCACAATCAAGCTATACACTGTTCCATTCAACCACGCATATCGTGTAAGGACCTTGTCACAATAAGCCCAATAATTTCCATTAGGCCAATGAACTCCCAACATGCCCTAGAGTTGAATGTGCATTCAGCAGTGTATGTTTCATGGTGATTGCATCTTATTGTCTCGCTGTAAGCAGCAACACGGGGGTGAAACAGGTTGGGATATCTGTTGGCAATCAGTGGGTCCACGAGGCTTAAATTTGTGATATACAAGAACTACTTAATGAAGAGACTCGTGAAGATCCGGGGTAGAAACGGTCATCAGCAACCCATGCATGCCGTAAAAGGCGACTATGCTTGTCTTAAGAGGAGACTTGCGGGAACGGGTGGTCAGGCTCGCTGACTTGGTTAATGCATGTCATCGTATCCCAATTGCCTAAATCGATGCTCATGATGTCAATCACTGGATTGTCTAGACCAGACTCGATTATTTACAAACCGCCGTCATATAGCTGGAATATTACTGAATGCGTTTAAAAACAAACAAACAAAACTTAATGAAGAAGATAATGAGACTGGTAAGTCAGCATTCTTTTATGTTTGAGTTTGTCTGTGGATACTTGTCTTGCAGTATCCCACAATGCCAATGACAGACAACTGACCCACACATGACCCTGTTCTGCTGGACATGGTAATAATAACCTACGTGACTCAGGGAATATATAAAACTTAAACTCCCTGCTAAAACCCGTATCCCTTGTTGCAACGCGCATCGTGAACGCAATACCATTCAACAGATAGACTCGAGAGTCGACGATGTCCCCACTGAGTGTGCGACCAGCGTCAACAGGTAATCACATCTTCACGGCTCAATTGTACATGTGTAACTTACCCACAGTCTCGAGGTTGAACAGTTCCCTGCCATGACTGAAAGAACAAAGAAAACGCGGTTCAAGGTGGTAGGCGTGTGAGTGGATGTTTACAGGCTGTGAAGGTATGCGTCTCCTGTCAAACAGCCATGCTCGGTTGACCTTGCCACATGGTACCTGCTGGCTAGATGTGTATAATTATAAATATAACCAGCCTCCGTTGCCCTTGAGGGAATGAACGCTATACATTAGTAAACAAATGACGAGTACAGGTCGGAAAACGTGTTTCGAATAGCAACACAAGCTCTGTTAATAATTCATGTGTACTTGTATGGCTCCCTATTGATTTCGGTCAGATGTAAAATTAAATAGATTCAAATATTGAAATAACGCTTCTTGGATTGTTTGTTATGTTAAAGACGCCTCTTGTTATTATCACGCAATCGAACCTCAAGCATTTCCACCACTTTGGCTGAACGAAACATTCGCCTGTTATAAACAATAAACTCTCACTATAGGTACGACACGCCCCCTTATTCTCTACATGTTCCTACCTTGTGTTCGTTCTGTTTCGTCTGTTCCACTGTGTGACAAACCCCACCGAAGAGTTGATTTTTATAGAAGAGATGTAATCCCGGATACGATGCTCGCCCAACCTAAGTCATTACCTTCTTCCCGTGTCATTGAGTGCGCATAAGTAAGGGAGATAACTACTGATGGAAATATACATCGACGAGTCTTCCAATGCCCGTGTTAAGTCAAGCGAAACTGAGACTTGATATAAACTAACCAATCGGAAGTTTCCGGTATGAACGAATCAGAAATATATAAAGCGCGGCTTCCTGTTATTTTTTCGGAGAATGACAATCCCACTCAAGTACACATAGCGAAGGCTATACAAAGACCAGCTCGATTCTGAGAGCGCTGCGTGCATCTGTGACGTAAGAACGATCAGATCTTATGATAACACAAATATGTTTCTTGATGTGGGTGTCATTCATACCTTAACCAATAAGAATATTAATATATTGTGTTTACTATATCAAGCTACTGCACCTGTAGTTGTGTTATGATAAGATGAATTTGAAAACAAGCGCACAGCGAAAGCTATGATCAATGGAAGTTACATACTTAAAACCACATACATATGTCATCTTTTTCAACACAATCTAAGCTTTTAGAATAGTTTTTTAAGTATTATGTCAGTAAAGCAAAAGTAATTTACTAAATATATTTTTCAGGTTTTATTCAAATTGACGAGGAGATTGAGATACTTTCTAGTTAAATATGTAATTGGTCTTCATTTTTTTCTTAGTAGAAGATCAGCTGTGATCCATTACAAATACACCGCCTCCGAGGTCTAGTGGTCCGCCCGGAGAGCGGAAAACCCGAGGTTCGATCCCCGGCCGCGTCATACCAAAAGACGATAAAGATGGTACTTGTTGTTACCCTGCCTGGCGTTCGGCAACAAGGACTGGTCGGCTCGAAGCCAGTATAATGTGTCTGAATGGGGTATTTATGTTAAATTGCGCCATGGTATCTCAGTGGGATAGCGCTATAAAATCGACACACGCATACGGCACACGCACACGCACACGCGCGCACGCACACACACACACATACACACACACACTTTGCAATGTAAGTGCAATAATCTTGGGAGCGACGTTGAACCCCAATTCACCCCACCTCATTACAAATAAAACGCCTACATACGACGTTAGTGTGTGCTACTTCTTATCGTTTTATAGATGGTTCGGTGATAATTATGTCCCGTATCAGGACATAACGCGGTAGTCGGTTGCGTTGTTTTCTAGAGCATGACAATCCCACATTATGAAGACTTCACAAAGACAAGCTTGATCCTTAGAACGCCATGTACCTTTGTGTGACGTCAGAATGATCAGTTCTTGTTATAACACAAATATGTTCCTTGATGTAGGTGTCATTCATACCTTAACCAATAAGAATATTGATATATTGTGCTTACAATGTCAAGGTATTACACCTGTAGTTGTATAATGATGATATGAATTTGAAAACGATCGCAAAGCGAAAGTTATGATCAATGGAAGTTAGATACATAAAACCACATACATATGTCATCTTTTTGAACACTCTAAACTTTTAAAGTAAAGTGAGTGAGTGAGTTGGGTTTAACGCCGCTTTTATCAGCATTCCAGTTATATCACGGCGTGTCAGCTTAATGTTGGAGGAAAGCCCGAAGTGATGCAGGACTCAGACGTTTACCACTTCGGTGAAACCCACGAGCACGGGTATGGTGCTGACAAATCTAGAAACATAATCGGGGCGAACCGGGATTCGAACCGACAATCATAGATTTCTGGCGTGCCCAAGGGACGCAACTCTGTACAGCGAATCGCAGCGCCTTAGACGACTAGGCCACCCTTGCCTCCTTTAATCTAAAGCATTTTGTGTTATTTCAAATATATTTTACAGGTTTTATTAATATTAGCGCGGCGGTACTTTCTAGGTAAATATGTAATTTCTCTGATTTCCTGGAAGATCAGTGCTAATTCATTACAAATAGAACGCCTATAACATTAGTCAGTGACATCAGAGACCATATTATAGATATATTATTACCTATTATTACCTATTATATGGTCTCTGGTGACATATACTCTTTGTCATTATGTAGATGGTTCGTTGACGTTTGGCGACCACAATATTTAGCTCTTTCTAAACAAAGAGAAACACGCAGAGGTAGCTTTTAGTAGTCTGTTAACTGCCCTCAGGTAAAGTCAGTGCACTTGAAAGGTAAACCATCCGGGTTATACGACACCAACGAGTCGTGGTGATGTGTCACGGCATAATGCTTATATGTTGATATCTAGATAACCAGAAAGGCCCAATGCTATTCAATGGGACCATGCAATCGGCCGTAGGCAAAAATACCGACAACAAGTCGAGTTCTGAGTGAGGGGGCACGGGTGGCCCAGTCGTCTAAGGCGCTGCGATTCGCTGTACAGAGTTGCGTCCCTTGGCCACGCCAGAAACCTATGATTGTGGCTTCGAATCCCGGTTCGCCCCGATTATGTTTCTAGGTTTGTCAGCACCATACCCGTGCTCGTGGGTTTCACCGAAGTGGTAAACGTCTGAGACCTGCATCACTTCGGGCTTTCCTCCCACATTAAGCTGACACGCCGCGATATAACTGGAATACTGTTAAAAGCGGCGTTAAACCCAACTCACTCATCACTCACTCGACCTCTGAGTGAGAATGTCAAATAATATTCTTATATCTGTTTTCAGTCATCTTCTTGTGTTTACTAAGCTCTGGCAATAGCATGTGCACGTCCATTGTGAATGATACAGTTTCTCTGTTTGTTTGTTTGTTTGTTGTTTGTTTGTTTAACGCCGCACTCAGCAATATTCCAGCTATATGACGGCTGTCTGTAAATAATCGAATCTGGACCAAACAATCCAGTGATTGACATCATGACATCGATCCACGCAATTGGGATACGATGACAAGCATTAACCAAGTCAGCAAGCCTGACCACCCGATCCCGTTAGTCGCCTCCTACGACAAGCACAATCGCCAGTTACGGCAAGCTCTGTGAATTGTCGCCTCAGGCAGGCTCCCCGAGAGGGCCCTGGAGCAGAGGAGGTCTCAAGTATCCTACGTTTGTAAGAGCCGACGCATGTTTTGATTGTTTGTTTGTTGTTTAAGTCGCAGTCAATCTGTAAATAATCGAGTCTGGACCAGACAATCCAGGGATTGAAATCATGAGTATCGATCTACACAACTTGGGTACGATAAAAGGCATCAGCAAAGTCAGCGAGTCTGACCACCAGATCCCGTATGTCGCTTCTCACAAGCTTAATCCACTCTTACGACAGGCAAGGGTTGCTGGAGACCTATTCTAACCCGGGTCTTCACGGGTGCTGAGGCATGTTACGCCTGGACGTGTGAGGTGACCTTCCATTGGGAGAGTGGGGGCACGGGTGGCCCAGTCGTCTAAGGCGCTGCGATTCGCTGTGCAGAGTTGCGTCCCGCTAGGGCACGCCAGAAACCTATGATTGTGCGTTCGAATCCCGGTTCGCCCCGATTATGTTTCTGGGTTTGTCAGCACCATACCCGTGCTCGTGGGTTTCACCGAAGTGGTAAACGTCTGAGACCTGCATCACTTCGGGCTTTCCTCCCACATTAAGCTGACACGACGTGATATAACTGGAATACTGTTAAAAGCGGCGCTAAACCCAACTCACTCACCCACTCACTCCATTGGGAGAGTAGATCACAGACCTCGCTCTAGGTTGCTGACTTGGTTGGGATATCTGTTGGCAATCAGTGGGTCCACGAGGCTTATATTTGTGATATTCTATAACTACTTAATGAAGACACCCGTGAAGACCCGGGGTAGAATAGGTCTTCAGCAACCCATGCTTGTCGTAAAAGGCGACCCATGCTTGTCGTAAGAGGCGACTTACGGGATCGGGTGGTTAGGCTCGATGACTTGGTTGATGCATGTCATCGTATCCCAATTGCGTGGATTGATGCTCATAATGTCAATCACTGGATTGTCAGGTCAAGACTCGATTATTTACAGACAGCCGTCATATGGCTGGAATATTGCTGAGAGCGGCGTTAAACAACAAACCAACCAACTCTAACCTCGCTCGCTCCAAGTGTCGTCCTTGTCAGAACACAGAACATACACCATAATAATAGTTTGTGTTTTAATACTTCACAACAACACACAAAATACACAAATAAATGGTAGACCACTCAATAGAAATTCAAGAAAAAACGAGTTTTTTCATATAGCAATTGTTAATCTGTTATGTCTGGTGGGTAGTGCAACATACGACCTTCTAATTGTGGGAGTTCTTTAACTTACTTGAGATGAATAGGTCGGTGGTGTCAGAGACCATATAATAGGCAACAACGATGACTGCAGTTAACGCGTTTCGGCTCGCTTCCGGACAGGCTGCGCAGTACAAGCCGTAGCACTGATGGTTTCGCGCATAGGCTAGAGGGCCGTCCCTCTATTATATGGTCTCTGGTGGTGTAGCCCAGTGGCATTCGTCACCACTCGCCCCTTTCCGTAACCTGCAAGAAGACTCGTCCCCCTATCGATGAATGTTATGTGCGAAAATACGACAAACCAATCAGAATGCGCGTATGATTTCAAGTTCTTCGTCAAAGAATCCCTCAGAAACAATTTATGATTTTACATATGTCTTGCATCTAAAAATATACCCAAGACACAGTTAAATGTGGTCAATCATATTGTATAAATCCGCATGTCCCGATGTGCTTTTAATTGCATCTGAAATATATATAATATATGGGGACATATATGTGAAACATTACGCAACGATTTGACAATTGTTTTAGGTATGCCCGTTTGCGCTAAGACGGAACCCGGTCGCAAAAATGGCCACGAGAGGGGCACGAGTCGCTATTCGGCTTGTCCCGGAATAACACGAGTTGGTCACGAATGGCCCAGTGGCTTAAGCGACACTGACCGACATGACTTTACGACTCGCTGGTCAGCCAAGGGTCATCTAAGTCACGGAGGGATTGGTCTATCGGACCATACTCGAACTGTCTCCATCAGCATTCATGAGCCGACCCATACACACAAGGAATTAACACCAGGTTTATACTCACACATACTTTTAATAACGCCCCGGTCCATCCTCAATATACAACTACTCAACAAGACAGGCTAGACTCGTAACAGAGTGTGAAAGCATGTGACAACACCTCAAATTGATTCGTTATATGTTCGATCTGACCATGAACTCACGTGTGTCGTAATCGAAAAAATACCGGAGCCCACGTGACTAATTGAGCATCTCTCTATTGATTTTCTCACTCACCCTGGATTCTACAAATGAAAAAGTATTCTACCTCACTGCTGATTAATTAACTAATCGACGACCACGTGAAATCAGTCCGATGATAACTTGGACATGGCCTTTCCCCATCGATTCCTTTCCATACCCAAAGTCAAAGGTAATCCGGATAAATTGGATTTTCGCTAACCAGGCACGACACCGTTCAAAGCTGAGTTAAACCCAACTCACGCACCAGTACGTGATCTTCATCTTCAATACCCAAATTCCAAATACGAGTGAGCTGTGTTTAACTACGGGTACATGAGAAAGTTAACTGGGTTTAACTCCGGGTATATTGTAGTGTTGGGTTTAACCCCCTGGATGCTATTAAATGCTTTCGACTTCAAATACCGTATTCGACGTAATAAGCGCCCAGGGCGCTCTCAAAAGTAGAAATAGGGGGCTCTTGTGAGAATATTATTTTGGTGAAAAAAACAGAGTTAAAGGATAAATTTCGTGGTTTATGCTGACAACCTGAATTGTTTATATACGACAGATATATTTTTCCAGAATTTAATTGCCCATAATTAAGGGTGCATATAAGACACGAGTGCGTATTATACGCGAATAAATAAGTTTTGTTTACATTGATCAATCGGAATGGGTGCTAATTGGGATTGTTCACTAGCCAATATGTTAGCAAATATCGCCGTGGGCGCTTATTAGAGCGGGGCGCTTATTACGTCGAATACGGTATGCTATTTACTCAAATGACACAACCATTTACGACCTAAAATTGCTCTCTTTTTCTGACATGTTCGCGATGTTTTTTGTCTGTTCAGAATAAATCACACTCTACCAGGAATTTGGGAAATACTCGATTCTGATTGGTCAATCAGAGATATGAAATCACAATCACCACCTAATAGCCGAGTTGACAACATCGCCACGCAAGATAATATCAATAGAAAAATACTTCCTTCTCAGTCATTGCCGACAGGCATTTGTGAATAATTATTATTTGTGAATAATTATATGTACAATTTTAGCTTAAGGCAGAGAGGTGCATGACAGTATATATATATTATATATGTCATTGTCAGTTACACTGAAGAGCTGTCATGAGACAGCGAAAGTACTATGTCTGAAACTGATATAAAGAAGATGATGGACTAACGTGGACTTTATTATTTTATTACATATTACATGTACACCGAGTGAACATTTACCTCATTTTTGTATATATATATATATATATATATATATATATATATATATATATATATATATACTCACACGCAAAAGAAACGCAAGTGGTTTAAAGCAAATATGTAGCAAACACGGAACCATAAATTGATACGGGTTTTAGCATGTAGTGAAGCCTGATGGTGTTATCAATAGTTTTGGTTGCATTATGGAAGCCCCCGGAAGTAAAAACGCAACATAAAAAACGAATTGCCAAAACGCACCATTTCAATGAATATGTGGGTATCATGCACCCATTTCTCGCGAAATCGAAAATGCATGAACTGTCACGAACTGTAGTGGGTATAAAACTGTGGCCGATTCTTGGACCTACCACTCCTTGGTCAACAATGCCACGCCTAACTCAAATTCAGAGAAACCAGGCTATCGGACGTTTGGAAGCTGGAGAGTCTGTCCAAGATGTTGCCCGTCATTTCAACGTTAACATAACCACAATTTACCGTCTCCTGCATCGATACAATGCTACACAGACCACAGATGACCTTCCTCGGAGCGGTCGTCCCAGGGTCACCACACCTCGACAAGATCGGCAGATTACCCGTCAACACCAGCGACATCCGTTCCTAACTGCAAGCGAAAGTGCTCGACAGACCATAGGAACACATAATCGACACATTAGTCGGGACACTGTGATCCGACGTCTCCGTTCCAACAACCTCAGATGTCGCAGACCAGCACGTCGTCCTGTTCTCCAACCACGGCATCGACAAGCACGACTTCAGTGGGCACAGGGTCATCACAAATGGCGTCATCGTGAGTGGAGGCGTGTCATCTTCTCTGATGAAAGTCGCTTTTGTGTCTTTCATGCAGACGGAAGAGTCAGAATTTGGCGGCGTCGATGTGATCGTTTCGCTGACCGAAACGTTGTGGAAAGGGATCCATGGGGTGGACCTAGCGTCATGATATGGGCAGGGATTAGACTTAATGCGAGACTTGGACCCATGTGCTTTCTGAATGTTGGTCAAGGTCGGGGACACGGCGTCACTGCTCAGCGGTATATCGACCAAGTGATCAGACCCCACGTTGTTCCATTTTTTGCACAACATCAACAACACATTTTCCAGCAGGACAACGCTCGTCCCCATGTTGCCAGAGCTACCATGGCCTTTCTGCAACAACACAACATCCGTGTTCTACCGTGGCCAGCCCTCAGCCCTGATCTGAACCCCATCGAACACAGGCGTCTGCAAAATGTGCGCCCAGTCCCTACAACTGCCGATGAACTACGCACAGCTGTTCTGGATGTGTGCAGGAGGATCCCTAGGGCCTTCACAAATCGTCTGATACACACTCAATGTACAGGAGATGTGTGGCAGTGATCAATACTAATGGTGGTCACACTGACATTTTGGGTATTGACCCGAAACTGTGTAAGCCCTAACATTTGAAAAAAACAATTATGTCATCTGACTTTTATAAAAATCCATTAAACTGTCTTCAGTCAAATTTTTGTCAATCTTGCCCTATTAGTATTTCTTGTCTTTACTGTTGAAAATAAATAACATGTATACTGCATACTCGACTTGCGTTTCTTTTGCGTGTGAGTATATATAGAGAGAGAGGTGCATGACAGTAATGACAGTATATATATACTTTGATATATATATATATATATATATCAAAGTAACCGTATCACTAACTCTCGCAAGGCTTTCACAAATACACCTAGAGTCGTACAACCAATATAAACAAACGATAAATACACACATTGAAAAAAAAAATTCACGTTTGGGAATATTTTGTCAATGATAGGTAGTTTCATGACATATGTATCTAACTGGGTCCGGACTGCGGATAGGGGAGTGCACCCCAGGTGACTTACGAAGTGGCAGTGCTGCACACTCTCTATGCCTATGATAAATGCGAGTTACGAAACATAAAGTGCCATTCTTTGTATATATACAGGTTAATATCGGTGTTTCCTCAACTGAACCGACAACCCACTCAATCATTTCCACTCGTCCCATGCCGCTTTACTCAACATGTTCGCGAACCGCAAATAGTTTACGTTTAAGTTTTTTCGCGGTAGGATGGAGATTTTGAGCAAGATTTTCCTGTAGATTTAACTGCGCTAAATTAAACATTTGAAACTTCCGGTCCAAATAAAATTATGCGCGGTTAATTCTATAAGTAACCTAGCTCCGCAATATTAAATATTTGAAATCTCAGTTTCCAAATGAAATTATGCGCGGTTAATTCTACAAGTAACCTAGCTCCGCAATATTAAATATTTGAAATCTCAGGTCCAATTGAAATTATGCGCGGTTAATTCTATAAGTAACTTGCTCCGCAATATTAAATATTTCAAACCTCAGGTCCAAATTCAAGTTTGAGCGGTTAAATCTACAGGTAACCTTGCTATAAATTGAAAATACAGTATGTCTATCTCCTAAATATTAAGTATACAACCGTGTCTTTCAATAAAAGATAAACAGATAAATCAACCGATATCAGAAAGGTTTAATAGTTCGTCCGCCGACTGTCTGGACACAAAACATAACTTATTGTTTGTTTGTTTTTTGGTTTGGTTAACGCCGCACTCAGCATTATAACAGCTATATCATGACGGTCAGTAATTAATCGAGTCTGGACCAGTAACCCAGTGATTGAAATCATGAGCATCGATCCACGCAATTGGGATACGATGACATGCATCAACCAAGTCATCGAGCCTGACCACCCGATCCCGTTTGTCACCTGTTACGGCAAGCATGGGTTGCTGAAGACCTGTTCTACCCTGGATCTTCACGGGCCCAAACATAACATAAGTATAGTGCGATGACAATATGGTTGACAGAGAAAACACTGACAAGAAAACTTTATTTATGTGTTTAAAATTGTACAGCACTGAATTAAAAGCAACGTAATATGATGTGAATACTGAACAGTAATATTGAAGATAAATAGTTTGCTAAAAAGGCAGTCTGAGACAGTACAGAGAAGTAATACTAGTACATGTTTCTAAATTTTTAAGAATATATACACTTCGGAGGTGTCAAAATAAAAACACGTCATGACTTTAATACAAGTAATTGATTTGTTCTTCTGGTTCTCCGTGGATGTTCTCCCGGAGACTCTACGTGTTGAGACACTTGCAGGATCCCTTGACCTTGACCCACTCGACTTGATATCGATCATCATCGTCTTCATCCGCGTCTTCGTTCACGGTGACTGCCGTCGTATATTCCACATTTTGGGAACATTCACCGTAATTATAATTGGAAACTTGACTGAAAAAGACAGAATCAACACAATCAGTACCTTCGGACATAGGAAGGTGCATTCGTGACCAACTCGTGTTATTCCGGGACAAGCCGAATAGCGACTCGTGCCCCTCTCGTGGCCATTTTTGCGACTAGGTTCCGTCTTAGCGCAAACGGGCATACCTAAAACAATTGTCAACTCGTTGCGTAATGGTTCACATATATTTCCCCATATATTATATATATTTCAGATGCAAGTTAAAGGACATGGGGACGTGCGGAATTATACAGTATGATTGAACAAATTTAACTGTGTCTTGGGTATATTTTTAGATGCAAGACATATGTAAAATCAAAAATTATTTCTGAGGGATTATTTGACAAAGAACTCGAAATCATACGCGCATTCTGATTGGTTTGTTGTATTTTCGCACATAACATTCATCGATAGGGGGACGAGTCTTCTTGCAGGTTACGGAAAGGGGCGAGTGGTGACGAATGAGGAAGGTGTGCACCATGACATGATTGATGAAGGGAATTGGCAGTATATATAACTGGTTGTTTGTATGGGACGGACGGCGGACAGTGGGCCATTACGTAAGCACAAAAGCATTAATAGTAATAGGTGTTTTTTACCTGCACTGTTCGAACTTGAAGAACTGTTTCCTGTTGCCAAACTGGGCTATCGTCTTCACAACGTCCGTCGCAGTGGTCATTGTCGCTTCGTCTCTGAAGAACTTCTGTCTATAATATAATATGTCACCTGTCTATAACATAACAAGACACCTGTCTATAACACAACACAACACAACACAACACAACACCTGTCTATAACACAACATGACACCTGTCTACAACACAACATGGCACCTGTCTATAACACAATATGAAACCTGTCTATAAGACAATATGACACCAATAATAACACACCGTACTGATAATAAAACAATCTACTGATAATAACACTTTGGTAATAATAACACACTCATAACAACACACTGCACTGATAATAAGACATTGCACTGATAACAACACCCTGTACTGATAACAACACACTGTACTGATAATAAGACATTGCACTGATAACAACACCCTGTACTGATAACACCACACTGTACTGATAACAACACACTGTACTGATAACAACACACTGTACTGATAACAACACACTGTACTGATAACAACACACTGTACTGATAACAACACACAGTACTGATAACAACACACAGTACTGATAACATCACACATGCACTGTACTGATAACACCACACTGTACTGATTACAACACACTGTACTGATAACAACACACTGTACTGATAACAACACACAGTACTGATAACAACACACTGTACTGATAACAACACACTGTACTGATAACAACACACAGTACTGATAACATCACACATGCACTGTACTGATAACAACACACTGTACTGATAACACCACACTGTACTGATAACAACACACTGTACTGCACTGATAACAGCACACTATACTGATAACACCACACTGTACTGATAACAACACACTGTACTGATAACACCACACTGTACTGATAACAACACACTGTACTGATAACAACACACATGCACTGTACTGATAACAACACCCTGTACTGATAACACCACACTGTACTGATAACAACACACTGTACTGATAACAACACACATGCACTGTACTGATAACAGCACACTATACTGATAACAACACACTGTACTGATAACAACACACAGTACTGATAACAACACACTGTACTGATAACAACACCCTGTACTGATAACAACAAACTGTACTGATAACAACACACTGTATTGATAACAACACACTGTACTGATAACAACACACTGTACTGATAACAACACACTGTACTGATAACAACACACAGTACTGATAACATCACACATGCACTGTACTGATAACACCACACTGTACTGATAACAACACACTGTACTGATAACAACACACTGTACTGATAACAACACACAGTACTGATAACAACACACTGTACTGATAACACCACACTGTACTGATAACAACACACTGTACTGATAACAACACACATGCACTGTACTGATAACAACACACTGTGCTGATAACAACACACTGTACTGATAACAACACACTATACTGATAACAACACACTGTACTGATAATAAGACATGGCATTGATAATAACACTGTACTGATAACAACACACTGTACTGATAATAAGACATGGCACTGATAATAACACTGTACTGCTAACAACACACTGTACTGATAACAACACACTATACTGATAACAACACACTGTACTGATAATAAGACATGGCATTGATAATAACACTGTACTGATAACAACACACTGTACTGATAACAACACACTGTACTGATAATAACACTGTACTGATAACAACACACTGTACTGATAACAACACACTGTACTGATAATAAGACATGGCATTGATAATAACACTGTACTGATAACAACACACTGTACTGATAATAAGACATGGCATTGATAATAACACACTGTACTGATAACACCACACTGTACTGATAACAACACACTGTACTGATAACAACACACATGCACTGTACTGATAACAACACACTGTGCTGATAACAACACACTGTACTGATAACAACACACTATACTGATAACAACACACTGTACTGATAATAAGACATGGCATTGATAATAACACTGTACTGATAACAACACACTGTACTGATAACAACACACTATACTGATAACAACACACTATACTGATAACAACACACTGTACTGATAACAACACACTGTACTGATAACAACACACTGTACTGATAACAACACACTGTACTGATAATAAGACACTGTACTTATAATTAGACATGGCATTGATAATAACACTGTACTGATAACAACACACTGTACTGATAATAAGACATGGCACTGATAATAACACTGTACTGCTAACAACACACTGTACTGATAACAACACACTGTACTGATAACAACACACTGTACTGATAATAAGACATGGCATTGATAATAACACTGTACTGATAACAACACACTGTACTGATAACAACACACTATACTGATAACAACACACTATACTGATAACAACACACTGTACTGATAACAACACACTGTACTGATAACAACACACTGTACTGATAATAAGACACTGTACTTATAATTAGACATGGCATTGATAATAACACTGTACTGATAACAACACACTATACTGATAACAACACACTGTACTGATAACAACACACTGTACTGATAACACCACACTGTACTGATAATAACACTGTACTGCTAACAACACACTGTACTGATAACAACACACTATACTGATAACAACACACTGTACTGATAATAAGACACTGTACTTATAATTAGACATGGCATTGATAAAAACACTGTACTGATAACAACACACTGTACTGATAACAACACACTGTACTGATAATAACACTGTACTGATAACAACACACTGTACTGATAACAACACACTGTACTGATAATAACACACTGTACTGATAACAACACACTGTACTGATAATAACACTGTACTGATAACAACACACTGTACTGATAACAACACACATGCACTGTACTGATAACAACACACTGTGCTGATAACAACACACTGTACTGATAACAACACACTGTACTGATAACAACACACTATACTGATAACAACACACTGTACTGATAACAACACACTATACTGATAACAGCACACTATACTGATAACAACACACTATACTGATAACAACACACTATACTGATAACAGCACACTGTACTGATAATAAGACATGGCACTGATAATAACACTGTACTGCTAACAACACACTGTACTGATAATAAGACATGGCATTGATAATAACACTGTACTGATAACAACACACTGTACTGATAACAACACACTATACTGATAACAACACACTATACTGATAACAACACACTGTACTGATAACAACACACTGTACTGATAACAACACACTGTACTGATAACAACACACTGTACTGATAATAAGACACTGTACTTATAATTAGACATGGCATTGATAATAACACTGTACTGATAACAACACACTGTACTGATAACAACACACTGTACTGATAACAACACACTGTACTGATAACACCACACTGTACTGATAATAACACTGTACTGCTAACAACACAATGTACTGATAACAACACACTATACTGATAACAACACACTGTACTGATAATAAGACACTGTACTTATAATTAGACATGGCATTGATAATAACACTGTACTGATAACAACACACTGTACTGATAACAACACACTGTACTGATAATAACACACTGTACTGATAACAACACACTGTACTGATAATAACACTGTACTGATAACAACAAACTGTACTGATAATAACACTGTACTGATAACAACACACTGTACTGATAACAACACACTATACTGATAACAACACACTATACTGATAACAGCACACTATACTGATAACAACACACTATACTGATAACAACACACTATACTGATAACAGCACACTGTACTGATAATAAGACATGGCACTGATAATAACACTGTACTGCTAACAACACACTGTACTGATAACAACACACTATACTGATAACAACACACTGTACTGATAATAAGACACTGTACTTATAATTAGACATGGCATTGATAATAATACTGTACTGATAACAACACACTGTACTGATAATAAGACATGGCACTGATAATAACACTGTACTGATAACAACACACTGTATTGATAATAAAATATTTTTTTTATTTTTTTTTGTACTTACGATTGACAACATGCGTGGTTGAGAACTGCTCCACTTATTTGACGTGCGTGAATACTCCCATGTTTCTTGTTACAGTGAACATTACAGGTGCCTCCCCCCATCACCCTGGGTTGTACTTGCGTATACTGGGTGGTGCCATTGAACAGGCGCAACTGCTGCTCTGCCGTAACAAACAGGGTCGGGTACCGCTCAAGGATTCGTTCTTCGGCACTCTTCTTTGACCTGCAAATAACAAATTGGCCTTAGTGAGCTCCAGACTGAACTCAGTTTGGAGAAAAATGTACATATTGCTACCAGCTCGACGAGGTTGACGGCGACTGCAAAATCGATGGACAAAAGTGCTACCTAGGAAAGTGTGAATATGGGTTTATGCCGCTTCTATCAATATTCCAGCTTCACAACAATAACAATATTCCAGCACCGTCACGGCCGGGGGCACCAAAAATAAACTTCATACATTGTACCCATGCTGGGAACCGAACCCGTCATAAGATTTTTTTTTTTTTTTTTATTTCATATTTTTTTTTTTTTTGGGGGGGGGGGGGGATGTGGGTGTGGGTGTGAGGGTGAGGTGAGGGTGAGGTGAGGGCGTGAATGCTTCTTACCACAAAACCCCAATACACCTCACTGGAAAGAAGTATGGCTCAAATTACAAATTACATATCCCCTGTGAATTGATTCTGCAAGCCGTGCCTTGCACTACAAACAACTGTAGCCGTTCAGTCAGTCTCTTGTGCCATCATCTTCAACAGCAAAGCCAACGCCTTAGATGAATGGGCTCCCCTGTGAGTGTCAATGCCTTATATTAAGGGTATTGCGTGCATGACTCCAGTCCTTTCACCCAATAGAATAAGCGGGATAACTGTATGAAATGGAGCACATTCGCTCAGACAGGTTACAGCTGAACGCTCGTAAACAAACCATCTGAACTATTCGCACCATCAATACATGAGAGCCACCGTGGCCCGCCCATATTCAATTCAGTCGTTTCTGGTATTTTGCTCGAAATATCATTGTTATCTTATTATTCTAATTATAGAACATTATACAGTAAAGTACGGTTATAACGAACTCAAAGGGACTACTAATTTTAGTTCGTTATAACCGTAGTTCGTTATAAGCATATATACAGCATAACTACAGCAAATAGTCGGGACCAAAAGGTAAGTTCGTTATATCCGTCAGTTCGTTATAAGCGTGTTCGTTATAACCGTAGTTTACTGTAATATGATCACAGGGACAGAAACTCACCCGACCTCCTTCCAAATGACGTAGCACGCCAATGATACTGTTGTTATACAGAATGCAATAGCAGCAACAACCTGCAAGCAACACCTTTACAATATTAGTCACATGTCATTGAAAGGAGTCCCGTGAAGATTCCGGGGTGGAATGGGTCTTCAGCAATCCATTCTTGCCGTAAGAGGCGACTGTCAGGCTCGCTGACTTGGTTGATGCATGTCATCGAATCCCAATTGCTTAGATCAATGCTCATGATGTCAATCACTGGATTGTCTGGTCTATTAGCTGGAATATTGCTGGGTGCAGCGTTAAACAAACAAACAAACAAACATTGAAAGGAATAAATGACGTATTAAAAGTGGTAATTGTAAAACTTCAAGGTCATAGGGTCGCCTCAGAGAAAAACTAAACCTTTCAGAAACGCCATACATGTATTTTGCAAAAGTAATTGAGGTATGGCTTAACATCCTTTTTTATGCTGGTCGTTACTAAAACATTTTGCCTAAAACACACTGTCATAGGGGCTGGCAAACAAAACTTTCTAATTGGTTCGAACCCATAGCCATCATGACTGGGGGACTAATAACGTGTATCCTAAAAGGAAATAAACCAAAACAATATTTGAAAATAATAAGCGCGCGCACAGCGAATCGCGGCGCTTTAGATGACTAGGCCACCCGTGTGCGTGCGTGCGTGCGTGCGTGCGTGCGTGCGTGTGTGTTTGTATTTCCGCATAATATAGTAGATTTTGAGAATGTATTTTATACAGTTAAATAGGAATTAATAGATGAAACACAAATCTTTTGGTGTTGGAATTTCAATACGAATACGGATAACTACCCTCTACAGCGGAATTCAATCAATTATACTAGTTGACAAATGTAAAGGTTCACAGTAATTCCATGAAATATTTATTAAAAAATAAGTTGGAAAGATAACCATTTTGCTTTAGGGGAGTACGAACTTGGACACGATATTTAAGAACTCTCCTGTTTTGTTGCCCAAACGTGACTAAACTACCACGGTTCCAGTATCAAATTTAACATCAACAAAGTGAGCTCAATCTGGCGAGTCAATGAAACTTGGATATCCAAAGAAAATGTTCTTTTTGGTAATTTATCGAAGAATAACAATCCTTTAAACCTCATCATTATTTTGTCAAATGAATCATTGTCAACTTCGGTAAGAATAACTATAATCCAACATTCCAGTTCACACAGAAAGAGCTCACTGAAACTTATAAGTTAAAAAAGTATACATGAGATATTAATTGTAATAGAGATTACTTCAATAAGCTTTGGTCAAGCTGTCATGCTTATTTCTTTGATTAGATGTTATGCAAAACCGCGTAAATGCTTTTGAAAATAACAAATAACAACAAATAAAAAAGTGACCAGCTGCACAGCGAATGACCGCCCTTAAAAATTCCCATCCCACCATCTCACTTACACTCTAGTTCAGACGGATTGGTGCAGAAGAGAGACCACAAAAAGCGAATTGGGAATATGTTTTTGTTTGATATAATGTGAAACGGTGTTACTCTGGGCGATGCCGTTCCTTGAGTAATTGTCCGGATTAATGAGTTTAGTTGTTTGTTTGCTGTTTAACGCCGCAATATTCCAGCTATATTACGGCGCTCTGTAAATAATCGATTCTGGTTCAGATAATGCAGTGATTGACATCATGAGCATCGATCTACGCAATTCGGATACGATGACATGCATCAACCAAGTCAGCGAGTCTGACCACCCGATCCCGTTAGTCGCCTCTAACGACAAGCACAGTCGCCTTTTACGGCAAGCAAGAAGACCTATTCCACCCCGGATCTTCACAGGTCAGAACAACATTCCCAAAGACATACCAACACTTGAAAAGTCAGTACGTTTGGGGCCAAAAGGAAAGATTACAAGATTCTTGTAACGTGGGTTGCAGGTGTAGGCTGGCGTGATACCTAGAGGAAACTACAGAACTTGTGCTGGGATCGAACACACATGATGTCAGCTTCTTAATCCTGGAGGATGTCGAAAAGAACAAATGGATGTACGGGAAGGTCAAAAGTCAGAATAGGGCCAACATCCGTCACCAGTCACATCCGTAATGGCAGGAAAGGTCCGTGAAATGACGTCGTAATGTTATATTAAAATATGTTGTTACTTTCGGATGACAGATTCGAGAGTACACGTCCGTTTCTTTACATTCAGGAATCGGCTCACTTAACTGCCACATCCTTTCACATCTGCGTATTTATGTAACATACGCTTGAAATAAACTGAAATACGCTGACAAATCAAATCCTAGCGTATCAAATACGCAACAAAAACTTTAAATACGCTATTGAAATAAAACTAATGCGTATATAACAACTGCTAGATAAAACGATTGCGTATAGATAAATGTTACATAAATGATTGTGCATCATCCGATCGCTAAATTCACTTTCCGACAGTTACATTCGGAAAAGCATGTGCTCGAATACTAATAGATTCTAACTGAAAAGCACATCTTGCCTATTCCATGTATCTTGAACAGTCACTGATTGGTGACTGAAAAAAAATGAGAGCCCCTTTCTTACAATCCTAGGTTTTGCAAACAAAAATGGCTTCCCCTAGAGGGATTGAGTGAGTGAATATGGTTTTACGCCGCCTTTAGCAATATTCCAGCAATATCACGGCGGGGGACACCAGAAATGGGCTTCACACATTGTACCCATGTCGGGAATCGAACCTGGATCTTCGGCGTGCCGAGCGAACGCTTTAACCACTAGGCTACCCGACCGCCCCTCCCCTAGAGGGAACTGCAAGCAGACGCAGACGAGTATACTACTATTCAGTTAGTTTTAAATGATTTACATGGATTGTAACAGGTTAAAATACCCAAATGTTAGAAAACAAATGTGTAACAGACGGCCTCTGAAAATAGCGGTTACCCAATTAAAAGCAAGCGCCTTCGGGGAAATATTAATATTAAAATAAATAAAAGTTTATCCAGAGCTCTGCTGACATTTAATTGAGCCGTAACGAGACTCAGCCTTCCAAAACTATATTCAGTTAAATATCCATTTTGATCAGATACCTAGAGTTGAAAAATGTATTCAGTTAATTAACTTATCACCTATTCAACTCTCATAATACGAAATTGTGTTTTGGGATATTTTAGTCCATTTACAATATGATATTTTCAATTTTATTTGTAACAGATCATGATAGATGGTGCTTCAATAAATTCAACAACAAACATTTGTAATTTTAATACTTTGGATTGAAAAAAATATATGTCGTACTGAAATGTTAGATTTCAAATAGACATGCACATGTAACTATTGAAAAAAGGAGATGGCTGACTTTTCCAGGTTATTCCATTTTGTCACGGTACACATGGCATACCAAATTATACGAGGTGAATTTCAGCTTAGCCCAAGTTAAACACGTGGACTAGATGATGGGTTTTATTTAAAAGACATACACTGTATACACTGCACGTGAAGCACAATACCCATGAAATGTCTAAAATCACATATTGGTCGTGAACATTGCAGGTACACATTTCTCACACGGACCGCATAAAGCCTTATCATGGCATCATAGATTGTCTAAAGCGTTAAGATGACAGATTACTGGAATGAAAAATGCAAGAATGTCTTGTAGGGAAATTTGACGTCACCGTTCTGTAATTTCAAGATTAATGCAGAAATGAAGTACAGGACAGGCCCCGCCCAGGTCAACCTCACAAGACATCCAACAGAGAAGATACAGCATTATTAGGACTCGTTAGTCGACGTCCATTTGACAACAGACACAGTGGCTACCAGGTAGCTAGAATCAGAACCTTCAGAAATCGTCTGAAAAAACGCTGGATAAAGAACCAGAAGACCTACCAAACGTCCCTTGTTAACTGATCAGGTCCATAAAGCGGTTCGTTTGGTATGGTCTAATCAACGTCCTAACTGGAATATTTAAGGATTGACTATGTATTTTGTTCGGTTCATTGAGGTATGAATCGAAAAACCGATGTGCTACGCGTATTCATACAGTTTGCACATCGGTTTTTCGATTCATACCTCAATGAACCGAACAAAATACACAGTCAATCTTTATAATTAAATTAGACTAGGAAAACATGCGTTATGTACAATAGTTTAATCAAAATAGGTTATATAAATCCAAGAGGACAAATATGTCGAGATTGATCAACATTCCAGGCGTAAGAATACATACTGTGGCGTGACATGAATCAGGTGATTTTATTATTATGCACATAAATTGACACGCCCACAAATCAGTACCCAATCAAGGGAGATTAGGATCAAAACAAACTTCATAGGACCTGTCAATCAAGGCAAGAGGTGAGAAGGACTGCAACAGTCAGACTGTAACGAACCGGAACAAATATATGTTCGGGAGAAGGCGGCCTTTTCAAACGACATGGTCAGTTACCTCCAGATTCAAACAGTTCCATGAGAACGGGAAGACACAGTTGGAAATGTGCGGGTTAGAAATGAAACCCGAAGACATGAACTTGTGGAACCCAGGCGGGCGGACAAAAAAATGGCGAGGGAGCCTGCACGTTTGCTGTTTCATTCCTTCTCGGCCTTCGGTCTCAAAGGGTAGTTGGGACAATGGGAATGCATGAATTTCGCTAAATGTCCTTTGCATGACGATACACGTGAGCAGAAAAAGAATTCCCTTGACTTTAATATTGGGATTCCCCGACATTACGTACGTAGTAATAAAAGTAGTCCGCTTCGGTGGGCGTGGCTAACTTTATATTCATTGGAAAATGAATGCAATAACACGTGACCACTTCAGCTAATCAGAATGCAGGAATTACAATGAACACAACGAGACTTTAATTATGTCATCATGGCGCTCAGTCCATCTTTCTGATGAAAGTCGGCTTCTGCTACACATGGTAGACGGCCGTAGATGTGTCTTGAGGCAGGCAATACAGCATTCCAGAGATCCATCCATTTGGTTGGGGATCAGTAATGGTATGCCTTGGCCACGAGACCTGTCTTCATGGATGACAATGCTACACCTCACAGATCACGTGCTGGTCTGGAATGCTTACGTCAGAATGCCATCCAGACACTTTCTTTGCCAGCAAGAAGTCCAGTTCTTTATCCAATGGAACAGCTGTGGGACATTTTCAAAAGGTATTGACGACAACTGTTTTTCTTGCATCTTATGACACTGGTTTAGGATTCCGTTGATTCAGACTGGTTTGAAGCAGTTCAGATTTTGTGCGACACTTTGTTTTTGGTTTTGTTGTTTGTTGTTTAACGCCGCACTCAGCAATATTCCAGCTGTATGTCGGCGTTCCGTAAATAATCGAGTCTGAACCTGACAATCCAGTGATTGACATCATGAGCATCGATCCACGCAATTGGGATACGAACCTGACCACCCGATCCCGTTAGTTGTCTCTTACAACAAGCATAGTCGCCTTTTACGACAAGCATTGGTTGCTGAAGACCTATTCTACCCCGGATCTTCACGGGCCTTGTTTTTGGTGAATATAACGCCTTTCTTCAAAATGCCAACAATCCAGAGTAAATTCTAACCCGTGTTTTCTTCATGATTGATGACAGTAAACATCATTGGATACTGTTATCTCGAACGCTTTTTGCACCAGGTCACAAGTAAATTTACTCATTCATGAAAATTAATTCTTAGTGTATGATTAGGTGAATGTATGGTTCTCTAAGTACAGTGAAGGCACGTAAGACCACATCATCCCCAGTATTTGTATGGCTACCAAGTTTTTGATCGCAGTATATTTGTATGTCTTAATTATCGGCTAAACTTCTCAACAGCAGTCAGCAGCTAAAGACACGGTGGAAATCCTTCTAGCGAACCATGCAGGAAGCTGAAATTCTTAACGCTCCGGTGGTCCCTAGTAAGGGGATCTACTCTTGGTTGCTTGCTATCTATAATCTCTGAGTTATATATTGTGTTGTCGTTTAACAATCTGATGTTAAAATTGTTTTCAAGCTAGTTTTTAACATAGTCCTGTGTTACGTTGCTGGTAACTTTACTGTCGTTTGACGGCAGGCCTTTAGAAATCAAATGCATCACCTTGTCTAGTTACCAGATGGCTGCAATATCGCCGACGTGACATAAAATTTTAACTCACTCACTCTAAATACCCTACACACACCCGCATCTCTACAATATATCAACAAGGGTTGACAGAACAAAACAATACAGGTAGGATGAAACAAATGGATTCTTCATTAAACGACCCGTGAAGATCCCTAAAAGGCGACTATGCTTGTCGTAGGAGGCGACTAACGGGATCGGGTGGTCAGGCTCGCTGACTTGGTTGATGCTTGTCATTGATCCCAATTGCGTGGATCGATGCTCAGGATATCAATCACTGGATTGTCTGGTCCAAACTCCATTATTTACAGACCGCCGTCATATAGCTGGAATATTGCTGAGCTTGGCATTAAACAACAAAGAAACAAATCTTCATTAAACATTCGCAACTATATAATGGTTGGTATTCCTCGAATCACACATGTATAGATATAGGAGATTCAAACCAATTATTTCGAAATTAGTGACAGAAAACTCTCACTCTAACATATATTGCAATAAAAACAAAGGTAGCTGTCAAGATGAGCATTAAATACCTACAGAACTTGTTAAGGAATCAAGGTCTCAGTAATGCTTTCAAAACATTTAATGTTTTTTTTAGGTGAATAATTGACATGCCTTTGCATGTGTTTGTGACGGTGCCACCGGTGCTTAGGGATACACTCACCATTTCGCGAACACCTGGTATCATCACTATTTCATAGTGATTCATATGCACGTGCTTATCATATTGTCGGAAGAGAACAATCGAGATATTTTTTTATCGAGATATTTCGGGCTGTTTATTATTTTATTTATTGACAAAGTTGTATTTGATAAACATAACATGATAGTGTGGACCAGGACCTTTGATAGACGTATGATACCCACCCTATTTTGCTACCATACTTTGATAAAGTCCAAGGTGATCAGGCAATGGGTGACATGACATTATCTCCTGTGGTTTGGTGGGACGAGCAAAATTCGCTACTTTTAACTTCGCGGTCATCAAATAAATAATGCCTAACACTGATAGTACTTTACAGGGCAATCTGGTGTTCTTATATTAGTCACCTCCACTATCAGTAGCCAGAGGGAGAGGCCCGGGAGAGTTGGGTTTAACGCCGCTTTTAACAGTATTCCAGTTATATCGCGGCGTGTCAGCTTAATGTGGGAGGAAAGCTCGAAGTGATGCAGGTCTCAGACTTACAACTTACCACGAGCACGGGTATGGTGCTGACAAACCTAGAAATATAATCGGGGCGAACCGGGATTCGACCCGATTATATTTCAATCATAGGTTTCTGGCGGCGTGCCCAAGTCGTGCCAACTCTGCACAGCGAATCGCGGCGCTTTAGATGACCTGGCCACCCGTGTGTGTGTGTGTGTGTGTGTGTGTGTGTGTGTGTGTGTGTGTGTGTGTGTGTGTGAAAGAGAAATGTCATGCTTATAGTGTATTTGGGTTAATTCGCATCCGCATCCTGCGTTCTACATCGGCATGTCGCTTAAGATCCGTAAGAATCCAAATGTACGCTGAATCCCCGTCTGACTGCCATGTCACGGTCACGATACTTGTCTGGTGAGCCTACGGTATCCCGCGCCTCACCCACAATGACTTGCGTCAGTGGCCAGCCAGCCATTCTCCAACTTTAATGACAGGCAGCTGACCCGACTGTGATGCTAAACAGCAATAACCCCGCTGCTGGTATCTTATGTATTGACTACACTGTGACTATATAGATAGATGTATTTGACGTACTTGACTCAGACTCGCTAAGTGCACTTCAGGCCATAAGTGGCAGAAACTCAAACTCCAGGCCAAACACAGTCAACAATATTCTATACGAATATACAAAACTATCGGACCAAGGGCAACAGGTGGAGCTGTGTTGGATCCCCTCTCACATAGATATTCATGGAAATGAAAAAGCAGACTCACTGGCGAAGCTAGCTCTAGACAAAGCGGATATACAGCCTATTCCCTTTAGTAAACTAGAGATAAAAAGCAAAATCAAAGCCTCCATAGCAGAAAGATGGCAAGCTCAATGGGACGCATGTAAGATCGGCAGATGGCTATACAAAATTCAACCCAAGGTCCAACAAAAGCTAAACTCATACTCAAATGAAGGAAAGATTGAAATTGCTATCTCACGCCTCAGACTCGGTCACAAAAAGCACAGGTTTGTTCATCTTGCAATCAGGCTAAAACCATTGATCACGTGTTACTAGAATGTCAAGACCATGCCCCAGCCCGGGCTAGGTTAAAACAAGAATTGCAGTTAGATCCGCTATCTGTCATAGATCTCCTAAAGCCAAGAGATGCAATAGCGAAGGCCAAACTAACTCTATTTCTGAGAGATGGACAGCTACTCGAACGTATATAAACAGAGCAGCCAAGGATAAAAATGAAATCATATCAATATAAGAAAATAGAAATCATATCAATATAAGAAAATAGAAATCATATCAATACAAAAACAGAAATTATGTGAACACCAAACCCACAATAGATATGTGTACCCTACTCACACACAGGAGTCCCAAAGAGGGACAGGTCAGCCGAAATTGCCTAGGCAGAAGGCGACCTCTTAAACACTTAATGCAACAACACAACAAC